GACAACCTGTTTGATTTATCATGAAGGTTGTTCCTCTTTAGGGACAGACATGGTTTAATGGGGACACGTACTGCGAGTCCATCGTGTGAGTCATTTCAGAACTGAAGGACTTCATTTTACATATGACTGTCTTTCTTCAGTCAACCCGTTCACATACGTTCCTGGCGACGAGTAAACATCACGTGTCATGGAGTCTGTGGAAGTCTCTAGAGTTGTTTAGGCGGCTGACTTTGTGCGCAGGCGATCGGGTGCCTGACTTTGAGGGTATGGGTTCGAATCCCGGATCGGACTCAATAACAGTACTGCAATCTGTACATTACCGAGGAAGTGTAATCCCAAATATAACATATCTTACGAGTCTGTGAGAGTTGATCAATGTGAAAACAGACAATCCGACCAACCCAAGTTAACGGGCCAACTAGCTAAGATATCAATAAATAGGAGAAAAGAGCCTGTGAAATCGTTGCGTTCAAAATCCACGGATGGACATTCACCTGCCTTCAAAGAACGCCATTATACACACCCCAGTATACACATACATGGCATGCCCTTGATTGCATGTGATTTCTGATGTAGTGCCATATCCTGCAAATGCACGAAACTTATGCTCTTCTTGTTGTGAGAACTATAAATATTAACTTTAATTAAGCACCAACTGAATCCTGAAGTCACGTTTTATGTTTTGGATCATACAGGCAATCACATTTCATCATACTGGAATGCACATGTAAAACTGTGGGTCGCATGTTCACGTGCCGCGAATTTGTATACATGTCATAAAAGCAATACTGTTTTCTGACCTGATTTTAAACAAAAATCCTCAAATCCGACAACCCCACACATATATTTTAATCACGTAGACTTTCAGAACATACACGATGGCAGGCATGGCGCAGTGTCTTGCCGCAACATCGGTGCTAACTTTAACATTGACCATAGGGTTATCAGTCCAATTGACAGGAACCACGCGGCCACTGGTGAAGGATCGTCAAAGATCTCGAAACCGAGATTGACCAACGAGGCCTAAATCGTCTTGCAAGACGAAATCTCATGACCCATGCCGGCAACTCTGTCAGAGTCTTACAAAGAAAGAGGTTGTTGGTCTGAGTAAACGTCTTCTGATCAGATGTCCCTTCTTCCACACAAACTGGAACTTATGGCGAGGTGCAGGCAACTGCAACTTGAAGACATGGCGCAGGGTTCATTGGTCTTAAGAAAGTCGCTATCTTTACACGTTACCAACGGCCGCGATGGAGATGTCGTAAGGTTATACCAGGAGATGACCAAAGCAGCTGAACCACTTGGTGACTCCAGTGTGATGGTGTGGGGTTGCATTTAGTATACCTGCATCCTGGATCATATTACCGTGAGTACGTGAGTTCAGACACTACTTTAGTTCCATTTCTTGAAATGGTTCAGTGGTTATTCTGATCATTCTGGTCCTTTAAAGGAGACACTATTAGCGATACCAGCATACTATATTCAGCATACTAGACATTTTGCTGGATATCACTGATACCAGAAAGGTACATTGGACAAAACAGTTCCACATGAGGCACAAGAGTGAGTGAGTTTTGCTTTACGCCGCTTTTAGCAATATTCCAACAATATCACGGCAGGGTACCACAGAAATAGGCGTCACACATTTTACCCATGTGTGGAATAGAACCCGGTCTTCAGAGTCACGAGCGGACGCTTTAGCCACTAGGCTACCTCATCGCCCCATCAGGTACAAGATGGTTTTACAGAAGGGTATTACAAGATTGAAAATAATATACCTTTCTAGGTACTGAAGAACGTCTCATGCTCATTTGTCATTTGCTTCATAAAAATCGTTGACACCAAAATAGCATTATTCAAATGACTCTGTTGGCAAATCAAAGCTGATACATTGAACTGTGAAAACAAGATCCTTTGACAGTGAAGGAATCATATTCAGAAATACTTTGATAGACATGAACTGACAGTTTGTCAAAAGCAACAACAAAAAACCACACAGTTGACCTTTGGAACGTTGAAGTAATATGTCTTCTCATAATCTTGTTGATTTTGTAAGAAATAGTAGAGATTTGTTGCTTGAACTAATGATGGAAGTAGAGCTGGTAACAGACAAAATGGTTATATTGTTTCGATTAACATCAGTGAGTCACGGCATAACAATATTCTTTCATTTAACTTCAAAATGCCAATGACGGTCTAACAGCAAAGCAGCCTTATATAGGCAATGTCCTTGTCACGATTCCTCAGAACTGTGCATGCACATTGAAAAACACTTTGTCTGTGTGACATTTTTTATGAAACGTGACACTTTCGAACGTTAGCGTGCATTATGTTTCCGAAGATGCGAAGATTCGTTCCATGTACACAAATCAGCACTGTAGTGGCGAAATTATAGCAATCAAACACTAATTCTGAAAAATATTTGAAATGTCATATATCAATATCGTCTATGCGTTTTCTCATTTGGGAGAGCATAGTATTCATTAAATTTCCAGATAGCTGTGATGGGGTCTTCGAATCTTTAAATCCTCTAATCCTCGACCCACAATTATTATGTTTTTCTTGTCTGCGCCATATCTATGCGAATAGGTTTCTTTACAGTACTAAAGGTTTTATAACATGCAACAGTCCTAATATAACTGCTTAAAGAAATTACCCTAATTGTTGTCAATACAATTTCACTATTGAAGTGAATGCATGTAATGGTCACGACGGCCGTCAAAGCATTATGACTTGATAGTCACGTGAAAAATATACTACGTGCAGAATATCATCTTTAGCCCATACGCAGGCTTTGAGAACTAAACACTAACTTCTTTGTTCGACAATGCCTTATTCAACTTCCCTGTCAAGAGTTATTAAGTCAAGCTGGATACATGAATAGTCGTTCTAGAAGCCTGCGTGAGCTGAGTTGAGTTTTGCCCTTTATTACAATCACTTTTTTCTGTGCAACTTACACCAAAGATTTAACTGTATGTGAAGGAATGCTTTACAGAAAAGAGTTGCACTTCTTTCTTGAGCAGTATGCTGTCCTCGGCGTTTGTAATGCATCGGACAATCCACGTCTCTGTTTTACTGGTAACTACCAGCGACGTGGAGGGTGTTTCTGTTAATCTCTGGGGAAACGGGTGGCCATACACCAGGAGAAGGCATACTCTGCTTTGTGTTGTAATGCATCCGGACAACCTACGTCTCTTTATTGGTAACAAATCAGTAACGTGGGGGTGTTTCTGTTAATCCAGGAGGAAACGGGTGACATTACACCGGGTAGAAGGCATTCCGTTAACTGTTGAGGGGATTCCCAATTTAGTTGCGCTGAATATGATTGCTGGTTCACCAATGGTATGGCGACCATTTCTCTGTATTCCCCAGACACTGTGTAACTGGTCTTTTCATCCACAGAAAGCTCCTATGCCCTCATAAAAACGGATTACTCTTTCTAACAGCATAACGTCAACCTTCTTAAGCAAAACCAAAATGCTAAGAAATGTGTGAGTGTGCATGCGTGTGCGTACTATTCCTGACTGATGTTGAGCATAAAGTCTACTTCATATCTTGCTTTTAGCAGTATCCAGCAATAGCCACAGCGGGAGACACCAGAAATGGGCTTGGCTTCACACATCGTATCCTTGTGGGGAATGCGAACCCGGGCCTTCGGTGTGACGGGCGAACGCTTTAGCAACTAGGCTAAACCACCCCTCTTGCTCCATATATCTGATAAGAAAAATCAATAACAGATTATATTTTCAGTTATGAAAAAAAAGGTTTGCCCAAATAAATTAATTTTATCATGAGGTGGAACAAATACTATCTTATTGCTTGCAGAATGGCTTTATATCTTTCAATACAGTTTATTCGTGGAAGAGCAAAAGTCAGTTCGAGATCAAACTAAACAGTCATTGCAACAGTATTAACGTACATGCTGAGCCCCATTACTAACTAGGAACAGCAGGGATCTGTACTAGGCCCAATCTTATTTACATAATACAAATGTATTTGACAGTTTTGGTTTGCATTACTCACATGCCGACTATATACATATGTAAAAGAGCATTCCTCATCGGATTCCTCTTTGGGTTTACGGTGCTTTAAAGCAATATTCCAGCAACATCACGGCGGGGACACAATAAAGGGTCTTCATACATTGTACCCATGTGGGCAATCGAACCCGGGTCTTCGGCGTGACAGAGCGGATGCTTTAACCACGAGGCTACCCCACTGGACCGTCAGGCTTGGAAGGATAGAGAGTAATGGCAAACCCGTTGACGGTAAAACCGATGTCATGCTGGTTGGCACTGACGCCAGCTATGCACTAACGGCTGAATAAACACATTCAGTGGAAGATTCCAGTATTCATTGCTCCGACTCTATGAAGTACAGCCTATCTGGCCTCGAACATCACCGTGTGTGAGACTTAATTAACATCAGACAAAATATCCTTAACAAGCTAAAAAGTGCAAAATGATGCTGTTCATGTGATCAGTTGTTGCAAGAAGAAATCACTCATCTTGATATCCATGCACTAGCTGCAGATGTCGCATGAATAAGGCTCAAGGTACTCTACCTTGCATGCGGATGCATCTGGATGCAGCTGTTCACACGAGCTAGTCTAAACAGATATCATCGCTTTCACGAACAGTACTTTTGACTCATCATCTTCAATTTGTTCATTGATCAAGCTACATTGTTGCCGGAATATTGCACCAACATATTAAGATCTGATTAGATGAGCATTTCATGGTACAGTCAGGCTGGTAAGGGGTAACTAATTCAGTTAACTGATATAATAGATTGTGATTGTACCAAATTCTAAACGCTGAGGTGTACGAAAGCAAAGACATGGAAGAGGCCGGCAGTTAGTAATTTGTCCAATAGTAATTATAACATTTAACATTGTGTCGCATTAAAGAAGCAACTTTACCAGAGGACTAAAAGGATAATTTAAACACCTCATCCTCTCGATCATATTTGTTTTCTGAAGTGTAAATGTTCTGTTTCAGAAACAGCTGTTCTTACAAAGCGCTTCACTATGAAACACGCAGAGGACACTGTACAGCCTCGTTGTTGGTGGTGGAGGTGAGTTCATCCGAATCCTATGAACCAATTTTTGTTTCATTGTGAACGCTGTTTCTGATGGTGTAAATGCATCAAAATTAAGATTTTTTGTATATGTGACCAATAACAGTTTGCTCACTTGGTGTTTCTGAATGAAATTCTACACCGGAGATTAGTTTTATAAGATCGGATTGGTTTATACCATTGATATAACTGTATATGCGATGATACATTTTGGTGCTGCATCCGTCCATGCTCCAAGTGGAGAATTTTAAGGAAGCTTTAAAAAACACATTCAGTGACGCGGAAACGTCTGTAGAAAACATACCAGATGGTAGTTTTACAATCTCGTAATACAATTATTGACAAGATGAAAACTATTTCTGTTTCAGGTGCTGTGGCCATGCGTCTGTAACCGTACCAGTTTATACCTCGCAAAGGGAAGTGCTGTGCCGGGTGGACAGACTACCAAGGAAACCAAAACTGCAACATACGTAAGTACTGTTACAAATCTAACACTTTTACTTTTGTATTGATGCCAAAGATGGATTAATGTAATGTTTGTCCACTTCTCTGTTGTCGTTTCTGAACAATTGTAGACAACCATGTGAGTTTTTATTATTTTGTTTAGAGAATAATTGAATATGCAGAAGAATATTCTAATATTATTACTTTCTTTTATGAACAAATTTTAAAAATGCATTCTGGGTTGGTGGCCCGTTACGTATCGTTGTGCACTTTGTGTTCTTTCAGCCATCTGTGACCCCGTGTTCTTCTGGTGGAACCTGCAGGTACCCAGGAAGGTGTAATTGCAGGCCTGGATATACTGGAGCGACATGCACTGGACGTAAGTACGAATTTCGTAGTGTGGTCCACAAAGTCATAAACAGGCGAGTAGTCTGTACTGTATTGTGCTTCTGTTGCGAGGCACCATTGAAAGTCCGGGTTAGAATTGGTCTTCAGCCTATGCTTGAGGCGGCTAATAGGACAGGGTGGTCAGGCTCGCTGACTTGGTTGACACGTCTTCGTATCCCAATGGCGTAGATCGATGACCATGCCTTTGATCACTGGAATGTCTGGTCCAGACTCAATTATTTTACAGACCGCCGTCATATACCTGAAATATTGCTGAGAGTGTCGTTAAACAACAAAGCAACCTATCATGAGGTGTTATATCGCTATTACCATTCTCCAAGCCATGTCTTAAATGGGGCCACAGCCTGACACCTTGAACATTCAACATTCAATAGCCGAACATTCAAACACATGGGCTAGCAAATCACACTGTGAAACTCGGGCTGAGTCCATCTTGCTTTGCAGCGAGATGCTACTTCATTTCATCTCTTCTGTTTGGGGGCGACATGATTACCTGCCAAAGAATGGACTGTTTTATCGTGTGTTGCTAGTCGTTGGGACCCGTCAACATCCGGGTTAGAATTGGTCCTCAGCAACCAGTGAAAGTCCTCAGAAGCGACTGATGGGATTGTTTGGTCAGGCCCCGTGTCTCGGTTTATATTATAATCTAAAAAACAAAACAAAAACCCCACCAGAAATCTGTTGCGAAAATGTTGTATTTTCAAACATGCATAACTCGTACACAAATGTGTATGCAGCCAAGTGTCTAATTTTAGACAACGGAGAGGTTGAGCGCGATGGTGACGACGTAGCACTGTGCCGACGTCGAATCTCCTGGCTCTCAGTCCATCTCTCTTAACCTGTTCCGTACAGTGTGACCGGATATCCACCGAAGTCGAGACACCCTAGCTGCTGTGCCTTAACCCGTGGCAGTACGATCACGCAAATGAAGTACCGGAACCGATCTTTAGCTACAGTGGTGACTCAAGGTCTGCCAGTACGGGGACGGTCATTTCTTATTCCTGTTTGGTTGTAACGCGCTGCAAGCCGTGATGTCGTGCTCAGACAAACATTCAGACGCCTGGCAACAGAAGATTGGTAATCTCAGTGTGCATTCTTTCAATGGCGATGGTCCGTGTCGCAGCGCCAAGCTGTGGCGTAGTGATTTGACCTTGAAACTCCTTCAAAACGAATGCTGATTACCTTCTGATTAAGGATAGAAACACGTGACATCCTAATCGACTGGGGTGCCACATGTTGCTACTGTGAATGGAAAGGAGGTTCGACTGGGGTGCCACGTTTTGCGACTGTGAATGGAAAGGATGTTGGACTGGGGTGCCACGTTTTGCTACGGTGAATGGGAAGGAGGTTCGACTGGGGTGCCTAGTGTTGCGACGGTGAATGGGAAGGATGTTCCACTGGGTTGCCACGTGTTGCTACGGTGAATGGGAAGGATGTTCCACTGGGTTGTCACGTGTTGCTAAGGTGAATGGGAAGGATGTTCCACTGGGGTGTCACGTGTTGCTACGGTAAAGGGGAAGGATGTTCCACTGGGGTGTCACGTGTTGCTACGGTAAATGGGAAGGATGTTCCACTGGGGTGCCACGTTTTGCTACGGTGAATGGGAAGGAGGTTCCACTGGGGTGCCTAGTGTTGCGACGGTGAATGGGAAGGATGTTCCACTGGGTGGTCACGTGTTGCTACTATGATTTGGAAGGATATTCCACTGGGGTGTCACGTGTTGCTACGGTGAATTGGAAGGATGTTCCACTCGGGTGTACGTGTTGCTACTATGAATGGGAAGGATGTTCCACTGGGGTGTCACGTGTTGCTACTATGAACTGGAAGTATGTCCACTGGGGTTCCACGTGTTGCTACTATGATTTAGAAGGATGTTCCACTGGGGTGTCACGTGTTGCTACTATGAATTGGAAGGATATTCCATTGGGGTGTCACGTGTTGCTACTATGAATGGGAAGGATGTTCCACTGGGGTGTCACGTTTTGCTACTATGAATGGGAAGGATGTTCCACTGGGATGTCACGTGATGCTGACATGAATGGGAAGGATGTTCCACTGGGGTGCCACGTGTTGCTACTATGAATGGGAAGGATGTTCTACTGGGGTGTCACGTGTTGGTACGGTGAATGGGAATGATGTTCCACTGGGGTGCCACGTGTTGCTACTATGAATGGGACGGATGTTCCACTGGGGTGCCACGTGTTGCTACTATGAATGGGAAGGATGTTCCACTAGGGTGTCACGTGTTGCTACAATGAATGGGAAGAATATTCCTCTGGGGTGTCACTTGTTGCTATTAAGAATGGGAAGGATGTTCCACTGGGGTGTCACGTGTTGCTGATATGAATTCGAAGGATGTTCCACTGGGGTGCCACTCGTTGCTACTATGAATGGGAAGGATGTTCCACTGGGGTGTCACGTATTGCTACTATGAACGGGAAGGATATTTCACTGGGGATCCACGTGTTGCTGCTATGAATGGGGAGGATGTTCCACTGGGGTGTCACGTGTTGCTACCAGGAATTGGAAGGATGTTCCCCTGGGGTGTCACGTGTTGCTGCGTTGAATGGGAAGGATGTTCCACTGGGGTGTCACCTGTTGCTACGGTGAATGGGAAGGATGTTCCACTGGGGTGTCACGTGTTGCTACTATTAATGGGAAGGATGTTCCACTGGGGTGTCACGTGTTGCTACTATGAATGGGAAGGATGTTCCACTGGGGTGTCACGTGTTGCTACTATGAATGGGAAGGATGTTCCACTGGAGTGTCACGTGTTGCTACTATGAATGGGAAGGATGTTCCACTGGGGTGCCACGTGTTGCTACTATGAATGGGACGAATGTTCCACTGGGGTGTCACGTGTTGCTACTATGAATGGGAAGGATGTTCCACTGGGTTGCCACGTGTTGCTACTATGAATGGGAAGGATGTTCCACTGGGGTGCCACGTGTTGCTACTATGAATGGGAAGGATGTTCCACTAGGGTGTCACGTGTTGCTACAATGAATGGGAAGAATATTCCTCTGGGGTGTCACTTGTTGCTATTAAGAATGGGAAGGATGTTCCACTGGGGTGTCACGTGTTGCTGATATGAATTCGAAGGATGTTCCACTGGGGTGCCACGTGTTGCTACTATGAATGGGAAGGATGTTCCACTGGGGTGTCACGTGTTGCTACTATGAATGGGAAGGATATTTCACTGGGGTTCCACGTGTTGCGACGGTGAATGGGGAGGATGTTCCACTGGGGTGTCACGTGTTGCTGCGTTGGATGGGAAGGATGTTCCACTGGGCTGTCACTTGTTGCTACTATGAACGGGGAAGGATGTTCCACTGGAGTGTCACGTTTTGCTACTATTAATGGGAAGGATGTTCCACTGGGATGTCACGTGTTGCTGACATGAATGGGAAGGATGTTCCACTGGGGTGCCACGTGTTGCTAAGGTGAATGGGAAGGATATTCCACTGGGGTGTCACGTGTTGCTAATATGAATGGGAAGGATGTTCCACTGGGGTGCCACGTTTGCTACTACGATTTGGAAGGATGTTCCACAGGGGTGCCACGTGTTGCTACCATGAATGGGAAGGATATTTCTTAGGGGGTCACGTGTTGCTACTATGAATGGGAAGGATGTTCAACTGGGGTGCCACGTGTTGCTACTATGAATGGGACGAATGTTCCACTGGGGTGTCACGTGTTGCTACTATGAATGGGAAGGATGTTCCACTGGGTTGCCACGTGTTTGCTACTATGAATGGGAAGGATGTTCCACTGGGTTGCCACGTGTTTCTACTATGAATGGGAAGGATGTTCCACTAGGGTGTCACGTGTTGCTACAATGAATGGGAAGAATATTCCTCTGGGGTGTCACTTGTTGCTATTAAGAATGGGAAGGATGTTCCACTGGGGTGCCACGTGTTGCTGATATGAATTCGAAGGATGTTCCACTGGGGTGCCACGTGTTGCTTCTATGAATGGGAAGGATGTTCCACTGGGGTGTCACGTGTTGCTACTATGAATGGGAAGGATATTTCACTGGGGTTCCACGTGTTGCTACTATGAATGGGAAGGATGTTCCACTGGGGTGTCACGTGTTGCTGCGTTGAATGGGAAGGATGTTCCACTGGGGTGTCACCTGTTGCTACGGTGAATGGGAAGGATGTTCCACTGGGGTGTCACGTGTTGCTACTATGAATGGGAAGGATGTTCCACTGGGGTGTCACGTGTTGCTACTATGAATGGGAAGGATGTTCCACTGGGGTGTCACGTGTTGCTACTATGAATGGGAAGGATATTCCACTGGGGTTTCACGTGTTGCTACTATGATTTGGAACGATGTTCCACTGGGGTGCCACGTGTTCCTACTATGAGTGGGAATGATCTTCCACTGGGGTGCAACGTGCTTCTAGTATGAATGGGAAGGATGTTCCTACTGGGCTGTCACTTGTTGCTACTATGAACGGGAAGGATGTTCCACTGGAGTGTCACGTTTTGCTAGTATTAATGGGAAGGATGTTCCACTGGGATGTCACGTGTTGCTGACATGAATGGGAAGGATGTTCCACTGGGGTGCCACGTGTTGCTAAGGTGAATGGGAAGGATATTCCACTGGGGTGTCACGTGTTGCTACTATGAATGGGAAGGATGTTCCACTGGGGTGCCACGTTTTGCTACTATGATTTGGAAGGATGTTCCATTGGGGTGTCACGTGTTGCTACTATGAATGGGAAGGATATTCCACTGGGGTGCCACGTGTTGCTACTATGAATGGGAAGGATGTTCCACTGGGGTGCGACGTGTTGCTACTATGAATGGGACGAATGTTCCACTGGAGGTGTCACGTGTTGCTACTATGAATGGGAAGGATGTTCCACTGGGTTGCCTACGTGTTGCTACTTATGAATGGGAAGGATGTTCCACTGGGTTGCCACGTGTTGCTACTATGAATGGGGAAGGATGTTCCACTAGGGTGTCACGTGTTGCTACTCAAATGAATGGGAAGAATATTCCTCTGGGGTGTCACTTGTTGCTATTAAGAATGGGAAGGATGTTCCACTGGGGTGTCACGTGTTGCTACTATGAATGGGAAGGATGTTCCACTGGGGTGTCACGTGTTGCTACTATGAATGGGAAGGATGTTCCACTGGGGTGTCACGTGTTGCTACTATGATTTGGAACGATGTTCCACTGGGGTGCCACGTGTTGCTACTATGAGTGGGAATGATCTTCCACTGGGGTGCAACGTGCTTCTAGTATGAATGGGAAGGATGTTCCTCTGGGCTGTCACTTGTTGCTACTATGAACGGGAAGGATGTTCCACTGGAGTGTCACGTTTTGCTACTATTAATGGGAAGGATGTTCCACTGGGGTGCCACGTGTTGCTACTATGATTTGGAAGGATGTTCCACTGGGGTGCCACGTGTTGCTACTATGAATGGGAAGGATATTCCACTGGGGTGTCACGTGTTGCTACTATGATTTGGAAGGATGTTCCACTGGGGTGTCACGTGTTGCTACTGTGAATAGGAAGGATATTCCACTTGGGTGTCACGCTGTTACTATGAATGGGAAGGATGTTCCACTGGGTTGCCACGTGTTGCTACTATGAATGGTAAGGGTTTCCACTGAGGGTCACGTGTTGCTGACATGAATGGTAAGGATGTTCCACTGGGGTGCCACCTGTTGCTGCTATGATTTGGAAGGATGTTTCACTGGGGTGCCACGTGTTGCTACTATCAATGGGAAGGATGTTCCCTGGATTGTCACGTGTTGCCGCAATGCCATTTAGAAAGTGGTCAAATGTAACATATATTATATTTGGGATTACACTTTCTTAGTAAAGTACAAATTCTAGTACTTTTTGAGTTGAGCCCCATCCGGGATTCGAACTTCACACCCTCAGAGTCAGGCTCCTAATCGCCAGCACACACAAAAGTCAGCCGCCTAACTCTATTCAGCTACCGCGACTTCCACAAAATGGAAGTCGGACAACTGGTAGTCTAGACTGCGGGCTTTTGTGTACCCCTCTGATAAGTGTTAATTGGCACGGTTCCACGACCGAAAAGCTATGATTACACAATGCCATTTTAGAAAGTGGTCAAATGTAACATATGTTATATTTGGGATTACACTTTCTTAGTAAAGTACAAATTCTAGTACTTTTGAGTTGAGCCCACTTTCTAAAATGGCATTGTGTAATCATAGCTTTCGGTCGTGGGAACCGTGCCAATTAACACTTATCGAGAGGGGTACACAAAGCCCGCAGTCTAGACTACTAGTTGTCTGACTTCCATTTTTGTGGAAGTCGCGGTAGCTGAATAGGTTAGGCGGCTGACTTTGTGTGCTGGCGATTAGGAGCCTGACTCTGAGGGTGTGAGTTCGAATCCCTGGATGGGGCTCAACTCAAAAAGTACTAGAATTTGTACTTTTACTAAGTGAGTGTAATCCCAAATATAACATATGTTACAAATGGTGTCACGTGTTGCTACTAAGATTTGGAATGATGTTCCACTGGGGTGTCACGTGTTGCTACTATGAATGGGAAGGATGTTCCACTGGGGTGTCACGTGTTGCTACGATGATTTGGAAGGATGTTCCACTTGGGTGTCACGTGTTGCTACCATGAATGGGAAGGATGTTCCACTGGGGTGTCGTCACATGTCGCTACTATGATTTGGAAGGATGTTCCACTGGGGTGTCACGTGTTGCTACTATGATTTGGAAGGATGTTCCACTGGGGTGTCACGTGTTGCTACTATGAATGGGAAGGATGTTCCCACTGGGGTGCCACGTATTGCTACTGTGAATGTGACGGAGAGTCGACAGGGGTGCCACGTGTTTGTGTTGTGAATGGGAAGGAGGGTCGATTAGTATGTCACGTGTTATTATCCTTAATCTGAAGGTTCGTGCAGGTTGTCTTGTGTTATGTTGAATCAGATGGAGGGTAGGCTCGGGTGTCGTAAGCTATTAAAGTTTATTAGACAGACTCAGGAGAAGATAGACATGATTTGCAGAAGTGCCTCTGTGACATAGGTAACTGAGTATAAATGTACATATCTTCACTTTTCACTATCTGATTAATGTAAGACTGTTGATATTTTCAGTCGCTTGTAACAATGAACGACCCTGCTACCCAGGAGCCTGTCAACCGAATGGTGGGAACGTGGTGTGCAACTGCATGCGTGACTTCAGTGATGACTATTGTAAACACCGTAAGTAGTGAACCCTACAGTTTCCCCTGCTATATAACTACATGCGTGACTTCAGTGATGACTGTTGTAAAACACCGTAAAGTAGTGAACCCTACAGTTTCCCCTGCTATATAACTACATGCGTGACTTCAGTGATGACTGTTGTAAACACTGTAGGTAGTGAACCCTACAGTTCCCCTGCTATATAACTACATGCGTGACTTCAGTGATGACTATTGTAAACACCGTACAAAAGTAAAAAGTGTAATACGGTTTTCCCGCTTTATAACTGCATGCGTGACTTCAGTGATGACTGTTGTAAACACTGTAAGTAGTGGACTTTACAGTTTACCCTGGCTTTATAACTGCATGGTTGACTTCAGTGATGACTGTTGTAAACACCGTAAAGTAGTGAACCCTACAGTTTCCCCTGCTTTATAACTGCATGCCTAACTTCAGTGATGACTGTTGTAAACACTGTAAGTAGTGAACCCTACAGTTTCCCTGCTATATAACTACATGCGTGACTTCGAGTGATGACTATTGTAAACACCTGTACAAAAGTAGTGTAATACGGTTTTCCCTGCTTTATAACTGCATGCTTGACTTCAGTGATGACTGTTGTAAACACCGTAAGTAGTGAACCCTACAGTTTCCCCTGCTTTATAACTGCATGCGTAACTTCAGTGATGACTGTTGTAAACAACGTAAGTAGTGGACATTACGCTTTTCCCTGCTATATAACTACATGCGTGACTTCAGTGATGACTGTTGTAAACACCGTAAGTAGTGGACATTACGCTTTTCCCTGCTATATAACTACATGCGTGACTTCAGTGATGACTGTTGTAAACACCGTAAGTAGTGAACCCTACAGTTTCCCTGCTATATAACTACATGCGTGACTTCAGTGATGACTGTTGTAAACACTGTAAGTAGTGAACCCTACAGTTTCCCTGCTATATAACTACATGCGTGACTTCAGTGATGACTATTGTAAACATCGTACAAAAGTGTAATACGGTTTTCCCCGCTTTATAACTGCATGCGTGACTTCAGTGATGACTGTTGTAAACACTGTAAGTAGTGGACTTTACAGTTTACCCCGTTTATAACTGCATGGTTGACTTCAGTGATGACTGTTGTAAACACCGTAAGTAGTGAACCCTACAGTTTCCCCTGCTTTATAACTGCATGCCTAACTTCAGTGATGACTGTTGTAAACACCGTAAGTAGTGAACCCTACAGTTTCCCCTGCTATATAACTACATGCGTGACTTCAGTGATGACTGTTGTAAACACCGTAAGTAGTGGACATTACGCTTTTCCCTGCTATATAACTACATGCGTGACTTCAGTGATGACTGTTGTAAACACCGTAAAGTAGTGGACATTACGCTTTTCCTGCTATATAACTACATGCGTGACTTCAGTGATGACTATTTGTAAACACCGTAAGTAGTGGACATTACGCTTTTCCCTGCTATATAACTACATGCGTGACTTCAGTGATGACTGTTGTAAACACCGTAAGTAGTGGACATTACGCTTTTCCCTGCTATATAACTACATGCGTGACTTCAGTGATGACTGTTGTAAACACCGTAAGTAGTGAACCCTACAGTTTCCCCTGCTATATAACTACATGCGTGACTTCAGTGATGACTGTTGTAAACACTGTAAGTAGTGAACCCTACAGTTTCCCTGCTATATAACTACATGCGTGACTTCAGTGATGACTATTGTAAACACCGTACAAAAGAAGTGTAATACGGTTTTCCCCGCTTTATAACTGCATGCGTGACTTCAGTGATGACTGTTGTAAACACTGTAAGTAGTGGACTTTACAGTTTACCCCGTTTATAACTGCATGCTTGACTTCAGTGATGACTGTTGTAAACACCGTAAGTAGTGAACCCTACAGTTTCCCCTGCTTTATAACTGCATGCCTAACTTCAGTGATGACTGTTGTAAACACCGTAAGTAGTGGACATTACGCTTTTCCCTGCTATATAACTACATGCGTGACTTCAGTGATGACTGTTGTAAACACCGTAAGTAGTGAACCCTACAGTTTCCCCTGCTATATAACTACATGCGTGACTTCAGTGATGATCTGTTGTAAACACTGTAAGTAGTGGACTTTACAGTTTACCCCGCTTTATAACTGCATGGTTGACTTCAGTGATGACTATATGTAAACACCGTAAGTAGTGAACCCTACAGTTTCCCCTGCTTTATAACTGCATGCCTAACTTCAGTGATGACTGTTGTAAACACCGTAAAGTAGTGAACCCTACACGAGTTCCTCTGCTATATAACTACATGCGTGACTTCAGTGATGACTGTTGTAAACACCGTAAGTAGTGAACCCTACAGTTTCCCCTGCTATATAACTACATGCGTGACTTCCAGTGATGACTGTTGTAAACACTGTAAGTAGTGAACCCTACAGTTTCCTGCTATATAACTGCATGCTTAACTTCAGTGATGACTGTTGTAAACAACGTATGAAGTAGTGGACATTACGCTTTTCCCTGCTATATAACTACATGCGTGACTTCAGTGATGACTGTTGTAAAACACCGTAAAGTAGTGGACATTACGCTTTTTCCCTGCTATATAACTACATGCGTGACTTCAGTGATGACTGTTGTAAATACCGTAAGAAGTGGACATTACGATTTTCCCTGCTGTATACCTAAAGCTGACTGAATCTGTTGCTTTAAAGTAAACCTTGAAATCTCCAAATGTTGTTAAAGATACAACATGTGGTAAGTAATCAGCTCTCATAATTTCACGAGTCCTTATGCATTTTAACTATACTCGGACTGAATAATGAAGCCGTCATACAAGTTATATTTGACGTACAAAATTATGACTGTTAATTTGATATTTTGACCTCTACCAGATGTTCCGTGTTTGTCTACTTGAACGATTGACTTGACGGTGCATGTGTTTATGATAATCGCCGCTACAGGTGCAGCAATCATAATCTCTTCCTTGCTTTACACCTTGAAACATAGTGTTAATTACCACACCTCATAATACATCAGGTTACCCGTGAAGATCCGGGTTAGGAATTGGTCTTCAGTAACCCATACTCTGTCGTAAGAGGCGACTAACAGGATTGGGTGGTCAAGCGCGCTGATTTGTCTGACACATGTCATCGTATGGCTATTTTGTAGACGATGCTCATGCTGTTAACCACTGGATTGTCTGGTCCAGACTCGAGTTTTCTTACAGACAGCCACCGTGTAGATGGAATATTGCTGAGTGCGGCGTTTAACTACTGGAAACCAACAAGCCAATAATACATTAGGACATTAATGTTCAATTTATCCCTTTCAACTAAACAGTGGATGAAAACCAAACACCTGAGGTCACACAGATGACGGCACAGTTTTCCTACTGGGCATATGATGGTGATACAGAGAGATCTTCGGATTTATAGCGGATGCCACGGACAAGACAGAGGAGGTCGAAGTGTGGACAAACCGCCAACAACTCAACATGCTGAACGTGACTGCCAGTGCTATGTTTAAAGGCCAAGAACTACCATACCCTCCTCCTTCCTACATCAGTGAAGCCGAGGACTGGGATTGCAAGAGCCTATTTTCAAGCTGCGTTAGTAATTCCATATACAATTTGTGTGTGATTTTACTCCGCATCTAGCAGTATTTCAGCAACATAACTGTAGTAGACATCAGCAACTGTCTTAACTCATTGTGTAACTTCTCCTAAAGAGAGAGAGGGAAAGAGAGTGTGTGTGGGTGTGTGTGGGTGTGTGGTGTGTGGGGTGGGGTGGGGGTGGAGTGGAGATAGAGAAGTTCAGCATTGGTGACTGCAACTCTTCGTTTCATACTGTTTAGGCGGACCCACTCCAGGATCTGAAGAGGAGTTTCAATGTGAGGAAGCCGTTGGCCCCGAGAACTGAAGAAGACGGTCCAATGCTCGTTTACGAAAAATTATACCTCCCGTTTGAAAGAGGGCGAGAGGTAGGTCCCTGGAAACATCTATCGCTGTCTGTATTATCATTATTAGGTGATATCCTAGCTCTATGGCGACGGTCTGTAAATAATCGAGTCTGGATCAACAGCATAAGCCCTGATCTAATCAACTAGGACATGATGACATGTATCAACAAAGTCAGCGAGCCTGACCATCCGATTCCGTTAGTCGTCTCTTACGACAAGCATGAGTTACTGAAGACCAATTCTAACCCGGATCTTCACTGGTTATTCAGTAGTGATGAAGGATGGATGATATGATATACTATCCATGAAAAAATATCAATATCTTTAGGTATACGGAAAACGGTTTCAGAAAGTATTGCACGTTTCATCCGATTATTTCAACAATACAGTCTTTTTTGCAACGCTTTGACGATAGTTGTTTTCTTTGTAAAAAACTCGAGACCTGATGTTCAACTGGAGATACCTTGCATTCGCCACCACTATGCTGTATTCCGTTACCCACTCGTGTTGTTACGGGACAAGCCGAAGAGCGAGATGACGGAAATGGGGAGATTGTTGACGAATGCCCTGGAAGGATTTTGAAGTATTAACATCACAACTACTTCCAAACAAGAACGACAACTCTATTTCGATGTAATTCCAACATTATCGCATTTGTCACCACTCGCCCCTTTCCGTAACCTCCAAGAAGACTCGTCCCCATTCGAAACTGGCTCTCCTCTTCAGTACATGTATAGTACGCCATTATTGTCAAGAATCGTGGCAAAACCAATCAAATCGCGCGTAGTATAACCAGTGTTTGAAATACGGCTCGTCCGACCGCCCGAGACGGGCTAGATTTCTGCCGACGGTCTTAATTTTACAGATAGCCAGCTCGATGGACGACTGAAAAAAATATTCAGATAACGTGTCCACTGTCAATTTGCCACTGTCTATTTAGTATTTAAGAAGGACTGGTTAAATCTCTTCTGGCTGGGTTTGGATTATTTCATACACTGGTATAACGCATTTCGAAGCATGAAAATGGCGGCACCGTCAAACTTTGAAACTTCGCTAAACCTATGCAAAGCACGATTCAAACATAATTTTGAGCTAAGGATCAGCACCTTTCAATACTCGAAACATCTTTACGAAGGGAATGATTGTATAGCTGCTTTGAACACGAGATATGGATATTCCAGGAGTAATTTAGAGTTATCTGTCCTTAGAAATAGTGCCAGACAATGTTCATCTCCGTGCCCATTTGCGCTTAGAGGCAGTCGTTAACATGCCCGCGAGATGGGTACGAGTCGCCATCCGGCTTGCCGGAATGACACAAGTAGTTACGAATGACTCGTCCCCAACTCGATGCTTGTTTTGTGCGAAAATACGACAAACCAACCAGTGCTTTGATAAAAATAATTCACAGTACTTAAATTGTTTATGTGATTCTTTAATTAATCATGGACAATTATATGTTAATAGGAGTAATACCATCCAATTATTATCGGTCAAATTGAGTGTTTTTCTGACGACCTTGCGGACTTGTTTTGGAGATTCAACGTCCGCTCTCCAACATTTATTGGATAAATCGCTATGACTTTCAAAACAATATATAAATATATACACCTAGTCAAAAGTACCGCACCATCCACTTGAAAGTCAAAGTAGAAATATGATTTTCGTTTTATGTTTCACTATACGTACATATGTAATGTGCGACACCACCTGTGAACATAACATCACAAACACACCCTGTTCCGAGCTGCACGTGCATGCTTGCCTTAAGCATGCTTGTTCCGGGGGTCGGTTTGCCATAAATGCAGTATGCATAATAGTCCTTTTGGCGTATGTTATGTTGGCAGACACAGCTAAAATTTGATTGTAGGCATACTGCTACTGGTGAAGTGAAGGATGCACCGAGGTCTGGATGTTCCAGAAAAACCAATGACAGGGAAGATCGTGCTCTCGTATACCATGCCAGACGAAGCCCGTGTCTACTTGTACACAGCTGCGACACGGATGGCATCCATACATGACAGTGTCCATCAGCACCATCAGACGGCGCCTAAATTCTGCAGGATAGAGAGCAAACTGATCAATCAGACGTCCACTCCTCACAAATCAGCATTTGCCCGTTTAGCCTGGTGCCAAGCACGTAGTTGCTGGAACCAGAGGACATGGAAAAGGATCCACTGGTCCGATGAAAGCAGATTTGTGTTGCCGTCGTACATACGGGAGGGCACGAGTTTGGAGGCAGAGAGGCACAGCAAATTATCAGAGGAACATTCAAGCTCAAGTTCCTTTTAGGGGCGGATCTGTCATGGTGTGGGGGTGTTGTTCCTATGACTGTAAACTTGACCTCTTCACAGTTCCCATTAGATGGACAGAGGTACCAGAGCTGGACGATGCTGTAGTGCCTCATTTCGATAACCATGCTCTTGCCATACGTCCAGTCTTCATGGACGATAATGCCAGACCACATCGTGCTCGAGCAACGCCATTGAGACACTACCATGGCCAGCCAGTCAAGACATGAATCCTATGGAGCATTTGTGGGACATTTTGGGACGTAGGGTGAGAGCAAGGGATCCTCCAGTTCAGAACCTTCAGGAATTGATCCATACATTGCATGATGAGTGGCAGCAGATCCCCCAACAGAGAATCAGATGTCTGGTGACCAGCATGAGACCACGTGAAGAAATTGTTATCCAAGTGCGAGGCCGTTACACCAGATACTGAGTTGGCCTGTCATTGTGGACCTTACCAGTGTGTTCAACAATAATGAATGTGAACTGTGTTGTGTGTCTGTTGTAACGACCCCGGCAGCCATACTTATTTCACCATATATTACGGTGATTTTAGTGAACTCCAGTTTGCTACAATTAAACCTTCAATTAGTGCTCAAATTCGGTCTTGTGTTGTCAATTTTCTGACTCAACGCTCACATGAGGCCATCTAAACAGTTTTATGTGCTTTTCTAAGCACCAGAGGTTGTAGATCCAGTTTTACTTAGTGAAAACGAGTGGTTGGTGCGATATTTATGACGAGATGTGTAAATTTTGAAATTCTGAATAATGATGTATTTATTCATTGGCACATTGGCAAAATATCGATCATAAAAATACCAATGACCCTAACTGATTTTTACCAGTAAATTAACTAATCAACTTTAATCTTGAACACTGTTCTTACATTTGGTTTCACTTGGGACATTTAAGTGCGACGTTTGTTAGGTTCCTCAGAGTATTCATTATCAATTTCACCAGGTGTATGGCAGCAATATTATGCATAAAAGTTTGGACAACTGGTAGACATCCCATACACTTAATCCTGTTTGGACCCTCTACAAAAAAAAAATCAAATTCCCTTTTATGTATCTATTTTGGACCCGGAAGGAAATGTTATGGTAATTTTCTACTCATGAAGAAAATCACATACGCATTACTGAAACAGTTTTTAGAAATATACATTGGAAAATATAAGGTATGTGTCTGTGTCTGTTTATGTGTCTGTGTCTGTTTATGTGTATGTGTCTGTTTATGTGTATGTGTCTGTTTATATGTCTGTATGTGTATGTGTCTATTTATGTGTCTGTGTCTGTTTATGTGTATGTGTCTGTTTATGTGTATGTGTCTGTTTATGTGTATGTGTCTGTTTATGTATATGTGTCTGTTTATGTGTCTGTGTCTGTTTGTGTCTGTGTCTGTTTACGTGTCTGTGTCTGTATGTTTATGTGTCTGTTTATGTGTATGTGTCTGTTTATGTGTATGTGTCTGTTTATGTGTATGTGTCTGTTTATGTGTATGTGCATGTGTCTGTCTATGCATATGTGTCTGTTTGTTACTGTGTCTGTTTATGTGTATGTGCATGTGTCTGTTTGTGTCTGTGTCTGTTTACGTGTCTGTGTCTGTTTCTGTGTATGTGTCTGGTTATGTGTATGTGTCTGTTTATGTGTTTCTGTTTATGTGTATGTGTGTGTTTCTGTGTATGTGCATGTGTCTGTTTATGTATATGTGTCTGTGTCTGTTCATGTGTCTGTTTACGTGTCTGTGTCTGTTTATGTGTATGTGTATGTTTATGTGTCTGTTAATGTGTATGTGTCTGTTTATGTGTTTCTGTGTATGTGTCTGTTTATGTGTTTCTGTTTATGTGTCTGTTTATGTGTTTCTGTTTATGTGTATATGACTGTTTATTTGTTTCTGTTTATGTGTATTTGTGTTTGTATGTGTATGAGTCTGTGTCTGTTTATTTGTATGTGTATGAGTCTGTGTCTGTTTATGTGTATGTGTCTGTTTGTGTCTGTGTCTGTTTACGTGTATGTGTCTGTTTATGTTTTTCTGTTTGTGTCTGTTTATGTGTATGTGCATGTGTCTGTTTATGTATATGTGTCTGTTTACGTGTCTGTTTATGTGTATGTGTCTGTTTATGTGTATGTATGTTTATGTGTATGTGTCTGTTTATGTGTGTGTGTCCGTTTATGTGTTTCTGTTTATGTGTATGTGTCTGTTTATGTGTTTCTGTGTATGTGTATGTGTCTGTTTCTGTGTATGTGTCTGTTTATGTGTATGTGCATGTGTCTGTTTATGTATATGTGTCTGTTTGTGTATGTGTCTGTTTGTGTGTCTGTTTACGTGTCTGTCTGTTTATGTGTCTATTTACGTGCCTGTGTCTGTTTCCTGTGTCTGTTTACGTGTATGTGACTGTTTATGTGTTTCTGTTTCTGTGTATGTCTGTTTATGTGTATGTGTCTGTTTCTGTGTATGTGTCTGTGTTTCTGTTTATGTGTATGTGTCTGTTTATGTGTCTGTTCTGTGTATGAGTCTGTGTCTGTTTATGTGTATGTGTCTGTTTATGTGTCTGTTCATGTGTATGAGTCTGTGTCTGTTCATGTGTATGAGTCTGTGTCTGTTTATTTGTATGTGTGTGTGTTTGTATGTGTATGTTTGTGTACACGTGTTTGTATGTGTATATGTATGTGTGTGTACATGTGTATGTGTGTGTATGTGTACGTGTGTGTTTGTATGTGTATATGTGTGTGTGTGCGTATGTGTATGTGTGATCATGTTTATATGTGTATATGTGTGTGTGTGCGTATGTGGATGTTTGTGAGTATGTGTATATGGATATGGATGTGTATGCGCATGTGTGTATTCGTATGTGTGTGTATGTTTATATGTATGTATGTATATGTATGTGTACATGTGCTTGCATGTATGTTTATATGTAAGTGTATGTGTATGTATGTGTATATGGATGTGTATATTATAAGTTACACGGTGTTTTGAAAGGGTGTGAGTGTACTGGACTGTAAGACCCTTGTAAATACGGAATTTACAAGGGTCTTATAATCCCGTACACCCTTTCAAAACACCGTGTGACGAATTTATTACCCTTAAGATCTTTTTACTTAGCTTATCTTTAAAAACATCTAATCATCGGCAGAATGAGACGCAAAATGTTTCGCCATGATTTTTCCTGAACGGCCAAAAAGGGAGATAACTCGGGGTGGCTTAGTTTATGATAAAATAATAGAAAGGGAGATAACTCGGGATGGCTTAGTTTATGATAAAAATAATCGAATTTAATGTTTTGTAAAACGACAAGTGAAATACGTAAACAGTATATTTAAGCTAGTGTATGTGTATGTGTCACATCCAGTAGTCATAAACAACTGGTAGTATGTATACTACCCATCAAAAGTTTAGAGTCACTTAAAACAGTCACTATGTGTTATGTTATGATATGTGGTTACATCGAGGATGAATTTCTCAACTAACTTGGGGGAATCAACTGCAAACCTTATGCAGATGAATTGCACGAGGATTAGGCATCAAATTGCTGAAAAGCATGTGCAAATATCGTGCATGTGAACAGCTGCGCTTTGGTGTAAAGTTTTGTTTAAGAATTCACCAATTTTCACTAAGTTTCATTTATTGAACTCATGACAATAATCTTGTCAACGTTGCGAATTCGTTCTTCTGAAGCACGTGGCTACATTTACACTAGTGAGTCTAAACGTTTGACTGGTAGTATACTGGACAAAATAAGTTAGGGATATTGGTATTTCTATGATTGTTATTTTATCAGTGTGCCAATGAATAAAGAGATCATTGTTCATGATTTCAAAACTTACACATGTCCCTAATTACTTTTGTCCAGTATATATAATATTCCGGTTCGCTTAACAGTTTATCAGAATCTCAAAATAAAACAGTAAGAGCTGGAATTATAAATTAAATAACGTACAGACCAAGATGCTATTTACAAAGCACACCAGTTACCAGCAGAAGTGCACTGATCACCAGTGACCTGAAAACAGCATATGGTCTCTGCTCTTGGATACCAAGATCCTTCTCAATGTCTTAATAAAAAATAAGGCATGAAGGTGTTCGTCCTGAAAATCCTGAAATATTTTATGTTCCTGATTTTCGAATTGAATTTATGTCAGCACAATGCCTGTGATTGAACGCCTTGATAGAACTTGCAAAACTCAGAACTTCAAACTGAGCATTGCCACGAACTTACTCACTGACTCCCCACAAAGTCATCACGTCATGACGATAAACTCTCGAAGGAATATTTTACTGGAGATCTATGTGTAACATAGTCTTATTACTCGCCCGTGGAAAATACTGCAGTGTAATATTTATACAGTAATATCTAACTAGTGTAATACCACCACACGTGAACCAGTTCTTCTGAAACTACTTTCAATCACGTGACGTATCACATGACAAATCAAAATGGCTTCTGTCAAAGTTTTTAGTCCCGTCTGTTCGAGAACATAAGTAACACATTTGTATAAGATATTTTGTTAGGATTATATATTTTGGAAGCAATAAACAAATAAATCGATAGCTTTATATTTTATTAACACTATTGATCACTACAATCAACAAAAAAATACAATGCATTGCAGACGATGCTTTCACGAAACAATCAAAATGGACACAATTAAACTTAATGACTGTGTGAGAATTGACGGCTGTAGGCGAGGAAGAGTAATGAACATTGTACAACCTTTGGGAACTTTCCACGCGTACGATGTGAAGCTAGAAGATGGGTCCAGTAAACAGGTTACACATTACAGATTACAAAACATTCTGAAACTGTAAGCGCTACACCTAGCGAAAATATCTTTGATGATGATCTGATCAGTAGGATCTTTGACGACGCTTTCTTTTGTGAAGAAATTCAATACTGTAATCAGCCGGAAATTGAGGATTTCATTCAGGGAAATATGAATGTCAACACAGCAAGGAAAACCTCATATGGCTTGAAGATACTGTATAGATTTATGAATGAGCAAGGAGATTACAGAAAGATAGAGGATATTTCGCCAGATGATCTATGCAAATTTGTGATGGTGGTCAAGAAAGGGGATGGGTCTAACTACGAACCGAACAGTCTGAGGAGCATATTATCGAGTATCTTCGTTCTAAATCTTACGGAAAATCGATATTGTTCGATTTTGATTTCAATAATCTGAAAAATGTTCTAAAAGCTAAACAGAAACTCCTGAAACAAGATGGATTAGGGAACCTACCCAAGCGGGCTCAATCTCTCAGCGATGTCGACATCAAAACACTATGGGATTCCGGCGATTTGGGGGTAAATAATCCTGAATCCATTTTGACTACGTTGTGGTGGCATAACACTACACACTTTGGCCTGCGCAGTGTAACAATTCACAGAAACATGAACTGGGGGCACATTAGCTTAAAAACTGATGTAAATTGGGTTGAATATCTTGAATTCACTGAGCGTCAGACAAAAACACGCACCGGGGTCAAGACTCGTGATGTCAGTACTGTCACACCGAAAGCCTGGGCCACAGGCGATGACCAATGTCCGGTGTTAGCCTACAAGATGTATGCTGGACTGAGACCTCTTGTGTTCAATGCACCTGATGCGCCTTCTATTTGGCGACCAATTCGAAATCCGCACCAGTTGGTAACAAACCCTGGTTTAAACGGCAACCGATAGGCGTAAATAAACTCGCTTCTATTATGAAGCGAATGGCATCCAATGCTAAGCTAGAGCCGACTAAACGCCTTACAAACCCTTCTGCACGACAGTATCTTGTTCAAACACTCTCTGACAAAAATGTGCCTCCAACGCAGATTATGCAGGTCAGTGGGCATAAAAACGTGCAAAGCATCAATAACTATTCGCACATATCCGAAGATCAACACAAAACTATCAGCAAGATATTGAGCAGGTCGAGCGATGATGCTTGTGATTCGCACATGGCACTTTGCGCGCAGGAAAACCGTCAGTCTTCAGTGGCGAATGTCGCATCTCAAAATCAATTTCAAACAATAAATGCCACAGATTCAAGTTCACAATCTCTGAGTTCAATCTTTGCAGGTGCCGTGAATAATTCAGTAATAAACCTGAATTTCTATGGTGGACAGAACAAATAAACTGACACTTCTTCAAATCCCAGCCTTCGGGCGGATGACATAAAAGTAAAGTTAAACTTTCCGCCACATTCCAGGGAATCTCTGTTATTGGTTACCCAATGAGACTATGTCTATCATTTCAAATGCATTGTGATTTCAATTGTTGAGTTTTCGATTCAAACTTTTCAAAGTATAAAATGCTAATTTGTTCAAATGGCACCATCTATTGTGTTTTATTTTCGAACTATATGCAGATGGAAATCCCATGATTTCACCGAAGTTATGTATTCATACGCGTGACCTAGATTGTCTCGCTGCAAATGCCTGCACACTGTTAGGTCGTTTTTTTGGCGATTTCGCTTGATTAATGTGGGCGAGTAATAAACAGCATACTTAACTCCCTTCCGTGTAATACCATATTTATTAAACTCGTGAATGATTTGGTATCAAACTCGCTTTCGCTCGTTTGATATCAAATCATCGATTTTGCTCGTTTGATATCAAATCATCCACTCGTTTAATAAATATGGTATTACACAGAAGGTCGTTTAGTATCCTCTATATTCTGCATACTGGCACTGCATTTTCTTTTGTCGCCGCACTCAGCAATATTTAAGCTGTATGGCGGCGGTCTCTGAATAATGGAGACTGGACCAAATAATCAAGTGATCAATAAATATTGATCTATGCAATCGGGATATGATGACAAGTCAGCGAGCCTGACCGCCCGATCTCGCTAGTCATCTCTTAAGACAAGCATGTGTTGCCGAAGACCAATTGTAACCCGGGACTAACGCTTTTCTGTCAGTTGTAAGTTTATGCCCGACTATGATCCACGGCACATTCTGTTCACATTTTTTTCCTGTTCAGGTTACAGTTGACCTTCCATGTTTCAAGTGGTGGCTACCGAAGACTGATCGGATCAAGAACTGCAGCCACACAGCATTATACGGGCACTCAGGCTACCAGTACTGTATCTTTCAATCTTGACATGATAAAACCCGTGTTCAACGACCCCGATGATGCTTTTCAAGTTCACCCAGAATTCACAAAAGTAAGTATGATACATCGTTAGCCAGTGAACAGTTAATCCGTTAATCCTCCGTGCAATGAGTGAGTGAGTGAGTGATTTGTTTTACGCCGCTTTTAGCAATATTCCAGCAATATCACAGCGGGAGACACCAGAAATGGGCTTCACAGATTGTACCAATGTGGGGAATCGAACCCGGATCTTTGGAATGACGAGCCGACACTTTAACCACTAGGCTACCCCACTGGCCCCTTTCACGCAATGGCTGATCATGGTGTTCTAAAGGTGTCTTGTTTGAGTAATAATGTTCATCTGTATCAAGAGCCTTTCATGAGACCTCGTTCATTCATCCCTTTGTTATCAAAATGTCGTTTGATTTCTAACCATTTTACAATACGAAACAGTTTTCATTTCATGCATAACTACAGTGTTACATGGATAACCCTGTAGTTATGCATGCAATATATAACCCTGTAGTTATGCATGCAATATAAAACCCTGTAAATATGCATGCAATATATAACCCTAAAGTTGTGCATGCAACGGCTGATCATTGTTATGCATGCAATAATCAGGTGTTCTAAAGGTGTATGCAATATAGTAATATTTATAGTTATCAATGGCCTAAAATGAGAACCCTGTAGTTATGCATGCCTTTGTTATCAAAATGTCGTTATGGTTTCAACCATTTACAATATGAAACAGTTATCATTGCATGCATAACTACAGGGTATATATTTTCCGATATTTACCTCCTGATGTCGACGAAACATGAAAATTAGCTTTCAAGAAATATTCCACATTTGTGAAAATTTGGATCAGCATGTCTCTAGATCAAGTAAACACATAATACAACAATGTAGAGTAACTGATGCTTAACTTCATGGTAGTCTTTTTGATGATGAATGACTTGCAGTCGGTTTTCCTTAAATAGCAACCAATAAACATACAATGGGATGCATGGAGGGATTCACAATCTGGATTGGACAAGTACACATGGGAAGTCTTCAAACTTGAACCCAGTCAGAACGGAAGCTTGACGGAAGTGGACAAACTGAGACCCGTTGTTCACAGAGAAGTTGACCATACTGAACCAATCGGCTATCCTCTTCCCTATGCCCCAGCCAGACCAGGGATGTATTCTTTTGTCCTTGAAGCTGCCGACAAGGCCAATAACTCTGTATACATGAGAAGGTTTGCACTGTATGACAGAGAGTCGGCAGTGACCACGGATCCAGCCAATGCCCTGTACATATCGTCAGCTGTGCAAGACCATGGCTTCCAGTGGATGACCGATGCCTCAACGCCAATAATCACCAACTGGCAAGATCATTTTCTTAATTATGTCCATGAAAGTGGTAAATTCCTCAACAGCATCCTCCCCTTCCGTGTGAAGATTGTGGAAAACCCACCAATCTATAAAGAAGTACCTGATACAAATGATGATAATTATGGCAGAAGAACCAGAGCGGCTATCCCCAATGTACGGGGCATTGTGAGATTTGAGTGGACGCATGCCGTCAACAAGAGTGGAGGCAGAGCGCACCACACACCAGTAAATTGGAATGATATCTCCGGTCTGAACACAACAAACCAAACAACAGTTGGTTGGTAGTATTCTGTAATGTTATTGTTTGTGAACTTCAAAACAAAATATTTTGACTTTTGCGTCAAATGTAAAATTATTGTTTAAGCTGACACTGATAAAAATAACTTTGTCTCGGCACGACAGAACATCAACCTGTTTTCTGACAAAAAATACCAATTTCGTTTTGTTTTTTATTGTTTGACTGAAAGTAGTTGAGGACATGTAAGGAGGTCATAGGTTGTCCGAGTTAGCAGTGTCCAGTGTATGTGGACACACAGAAGTGGACATAGAATATAGAGAGAAATAACACAATTCATTAAACAGAAACAAAATGTTCCCTTTCGGATTTCATGACAAAAATACGACAAAAAGTTAACGTATGTGTATAATATGAGCTTCATTTCGTTGATGAAAGAATAAGGTTCAGCAGGAAATTTCTTTATACATTATGCATATTCTCGACACGTTTACGTTATCACTACGTGTTCTCGACCCTTCAGCTGGTGTTACAAGCGGAACCACCGTTACTGTGTGGGTAAGAGCCCGGGACATTCTTGACAACAGGAACGTGGACTCGACAAGTGTAACCTACGACTTCACCGAACCAGAGTACAGTTTGATGACATTCAACAAAAATGAAAAATCCAACATTCCCTTCAGCTCCGGGTAAGAAAAAGGAGATTGTAAATTGGCCTGACCCTATGTTAAGCATTTTTAAATGAAAAATATTGTTCACTTGTTCATTCAAAATGTATTGTTTCCATATTTATTTATTTAATTAATTTAAATCTTCAAATAGTATAAGCTTAATTTCGTCAGAGATTATAGGACTTTCTCGTCAAAACTGTAACTGAGTTGTTATCACTAATTACCCGTTGTTTTTGTACAACTATTCTGTGTTGATTTCTGTTTATTGGCCCGTGTTTTTCGTCCTGAAATCAACTGATGTTTTTATGTTAATTTGTATTCTTACTGCGAAAAACGTCTGTTTCACACATGCGACGAGCTACTAAATCTAAGGGGAAATGGCACCAGAGCGTGCATCATGGTCCCTCTTTGTCTGTTTGTTGTTCACAGTTGTCTAAATGTAATATAATCGATTCCGTGACTGACAGACCAATGACTGAAAGAAGAAACAATGTGCTTCGTCTTACGATGACACGCGATCACCCAACACGTTAAGACCAACAGTATAATGTTCAGAATGTATTCCAATGTGGGTTCCCACAAGAAAATCCACATTGGAATGATATTGATTCTAGGGGTGTGGCCAATGCTTGTCGTTAGAGGCGACTAACGCGATCGGGTGGTCAGGCTCGCTGACTTGGTTGACACATGTCATCGTATCCCAATTGCGTAGATATAGGCTCATGATGTTGATCACTGGATTATCTGGTCCAGACTCGATTATTTACAGACTGAAGTCATATAGCTGAGTATGGCGTCAAACAACAACCATATAGTAACACGGTAATACATATTTGTTTACTTTCCATAACGATATATCTAATTTCTAATGAACTATCTAATTCTCTGTTCCTGGTCCTAGTTTAACGGTGACCGCACACGATCCAGAGAGTGGACTCGACCATCTTGAGGTCAAGGTATTCAATACAGAAGATGGCGACCTACTCAGGGCAAACAATGTATCCGTTCCATCTATCCACGTGAGTCATACGTTTCTGTGTTATTATCTAAAGTGCAAAATGGTAATGCCAAGATGATTTTGTTAACAGTTTTATTAGTATTTCCAAGACGAAAATATCATTAATAATGACATAACTTTGTTTTGTTTTGTTTATTTGTTGTTTAATGCCGCACTCAGCGATAATCCAGGTATATGGCAGCGGTCTTTAAGTCAACATCATGAGCATCGATCTACGCAATTGGGATATGATGACATGTTTCCATGTCAGCGAACCTGACTGTCCGATCCCGTTAGTCGCCTCTAACGACAAGCATGGGTCACACCACTGGAATCAATATCATTCCTGCGTGAATGTTCCCGTGGGGATGAACACTCCGAACATGTGTCGAAGACAAGAATGGGTTGCTGAAGACCAATTAATGGCATACATTAGTCTGATAGGCATAGGGGTACATGGGACTGACTACAACATGATGTTATGATTTCAGCCGCTTTACTGTACAGACAGGGTACACGACTGCTACTGCCCAAACGCCCTGAGCGTGTGTTATAAACGGATCAATAAAGTCTACATCAGCAACTGCTGGCTGATGGTGGCCAAGAACGCCCTAGCGACTGCCCAGGTTCGACTGCAGGTGCGCGTTGTCAACAGGGCGGGGCTGAAGAGCTCCACATATGAGGAACAAGTGGTTAGTAACTATACGACGTTGCCGGAAATTGGCATTCTTTGAGAGTGAGTGAGTTTAGTTTTACGCCGCACTCAGCAATATTCCAGCTGTATGGCGACGATCTGTAAATAATCGAGTCTGGACCAGACAAGCTAGTGATCAAAAGCATGAGCATCGATCTGCGCAATTGGGAACCGATGACATGTGTCCAACCAAGTCAGCGAGCCTGACCACCAGATCACGTTAGTCGCCTCTTAGGACAAGCATGTTACTGAAGATCAATATGCTAACCCGGACCTTCACGGGTCTCTTCGAGAACTACACGGGTGTTATTTATACGCCAGTCAGCAATATCTTATTTCCATAGTGATCTGTACATAACCAGCATCTTCGCGAGAGAAGGGACCTAACAGACTATAAAAGTCTCGAGAGAATGGACGTAACTAACTTTAAAAGTCTCGAGGGAAGGGAGGTAACTGACTTTAAAAGTCTCGAGGGAAGGGAGGTAACTGACTTTAAAAGTCGCGAGGGAAGGGAGGTAACTGACTTTAAATGTCTCGCGAGAAGGGACCTAACAGACTTTAAAAGTCGCGAGGGAAGGGAGGTAACTGACTTTAAAATGTCGCGAAGGAAAGGAGGTAACTGACTTCAAGAGACTCGAGAGTAGGGACGTAAGTGAGTTTAAAAGTTTCGAGAGAAGGGAGGTAACTCATTTTAAATGTCTAGAGAGACGGGACGTAAATAACTTTTGAATGTCAAGTTCCCATACAAGACGAAGTAGACTGGAATTTCGGAATTACGTTTTAGCTTTTAACAACCAACATCTCTTAATCTCTAAATGCCCGAAAGCACTCGATTTATTGAAAGTCGTTTCTAATTCAAAGTGGGGAGGGGATCAAGCTACTCTCCTTCACCCATATAGATCACTGGTCCGCTCCAAGCTTGATTATGGCTCCAGTGTATATGGTGGAGCCTGTAACAGCAACCTCAAACTATTAGATTCTGTCCACCACCAAGGTCTAAGACTTTGTCTTTGGTCCTTTAGAACCTTTCCTATTGATGGTCTCTATGTCGAAGCTGATCTGCTATCTCTTACACAATGCCGTATAAAACTATCTTTACAATATATTACAAAACTATATTCCAACCGGTCTAACCCTGCATATAATTGTATCTTCAATCCCCTCCATGAGGATTTATACAACAAAAATCTTCTCTTGTTCCGCCTCTTGGGTTAAGAATTACGTCGTGTCTGCTGCCGGCATTGAGCTGGAAAATATAGCTCCTTCCCGTCTTCTTTCTTCTCCTCCTTGACAATTGGTTAGGCCACAAGTTGACCTAACACTGACAACCTTTAAAAAATCTGAAACTAATGAATTACAATATAAACAAGAATTTAATCAATTAAAAACTAAATATAATACATATTATAGCATTATAGATATACATAGTCCTTATTTACAGATGGGTCCATGGATGGTGGCGCAGTGGCTAGTGCCACTGTCATTGGATCCAGAACAATATCTTCTAGATTACCGGGCGATAGTTCTATTTTCACAGCCGAAGCAAATGCCATATTAACAGCGCTTAAATATATTCAAAATCATCCTAAGTATTAACAATGTATAATCCTTTCTGACTCTCATTCTTGCCTTCAGGCCATTAAAAATCTATCTTGTTAACATCCACGTTTAATAGAAATTATTGAATAATATAATGATCTTGCTATTGGCCACTTCGTATTCCATACTTTGATTATAAAGCTGTCATCAGATCTTATATTCGTGATCTAATGCAGAAGATGTGGGACACCCAAGTAGGAATCAATAAATTACATGACATAAAACCCTATATCGGTTACACCTACTTGGGTTGTCAGTTCAGATTTGAAGAGGTCACAATACGACGATGTCGTATTGGCCACACAAGATATACTCATGAGTACCTATTGAAAGGTGAGGATGCTCCGTTTTGTATCCCTTGTGATGAAAAATCACGGTCAAGCATGTCCTGCTTGACTGTATTGAATATTCCATCACAAGGGATATCTTTTTCAAATCACGAACTATGAAGGATCGTTTTAATAATATAAGTTATAATTTAATTATTGCATATTTAAAAGAATAGATCTGTTAGCTGATTTGTAAATAGATAAATATTTTATGATTGGAAGTTTAAATTAATAATTGTTAGTGGCTGTACCCTCAAGGGGGGTTAAAGTATTTTAACATTATTGTCCTCCTGAGAGGGTACGCAAGTCCCAAAATTTCCACAGTCAATTTAAACTTACCAGGATTTATAAACGTTCTTGTTATTTTAATTTTGGCTAACATTTCTTACAATCGCCAGCAGCTGAAGGGATGGTGTAAATCCAACTAGGGTCCATGCAGGTAGCAAAGGTACTGTAAGTCCCCATGGTCCCTAGTATGGTGATCTACCTTCAGTTGTTGGCGATCTATAGCCTGTTTTCATATTGTATTGTCCAAATAGTGCTAATAGTTTTAACTTTCCACGCTAGTTTTTCTTCTAATTGTGATATTCTAGTTGTTTTACTGTCCTTTGACGACAGGTTTATATTATATACACATGCTCCATTTCAATGTCAAGTATGTTCTCGTCACGATTTGGCTGAAATATTGCCGATGTGACGTTAAATCTTAATCAACGAGCAGGTCTTTTATTTGAAGCACATGCATGGAGGGAGGGTAAAATTAGTTGGAGAGACATAGAAGGGACATAACTCGTAATAGCTTCTGGTGGCGCTTTCGGTAAACCTGGCAACTGGATTTATATAATAAGTTATCTCCCTTTACAGCAACAACAACAATACCGAGATGATATACAATATCCATTGATTTATATACCAACGAAATCACTCGTATTCCAAACTGTTGTTATTATTTTGACAATTTCTGTTCATAGGTGACGAACCTGTTGGAACTAAACGGCGCCACGACCTGTAAGTAGTGAAAAATGCTAAATTCTACTCCCTAATCCCAATATATATCTTGCTAATAGATTGTAATATATATAATATTAAAACATTGTATTGCCCACGTGCACCCCGTCTTCCATTCTCTTCCAACAGAGGTTACTTGTCATGTCTTCCTACGAACCTCTGTTCTAATAGGGCTATATTTCCCAGTTCTCGTAAAATCCACTAGCGGCAAGACATCGCAGCACGAATTATCTCCCTTCTTTCTATCCAATCAGAACACGTGTTACATCGACTTAGATCCAACTTGACTAATAGAAGCAAATGTGGGGCCATAAATATCCCTCCTCAGACGGGGACTTGTGTTGATGTGAAACACAAGACATTTAATGGCAAGCTTGTACGTTGTCAACGAGGGCGATGGAGACGCCATTGATCCGCCATTTACATGATTGAGTTATGTCTTTAAGAAACGTTTGCGCATCGCGCAGGGGAAGAGGTTCCAGTTTTCCCGAAGCCTACGGAAATTACCGAGGCCTTGCGAATGATCACTTATGAAACAACGTCGCTGACTGCACAACTAAAGCTGATTACAACCAATCACAAATCCTGAACACTCGCACCATGAAAGGGCCGTATTAGAACAGAGGTTCGTAGGAAGATATGACAAATAACCTCTATGGAAATAGAATGCCCGTCTTCATAAATTTGATATAGACTGATTTGAAGTGCTTAATAAATCGTTTTGTAAATTGAGGCAAAACTTGATCTCTCAGTCAAGCTGTTTCAGAGCTGATTTGATCTTTCACCAGACTTGCCACCCTCAAACCTGAGAACCAAACGATTGTCTTCAACATCTATCCGTGTTATGTGGGACCACGCCCCTGCTTGCCACGAACGCACAGTCATAATAATCAGCTACCAGACGGATTCAGGGCAGGTCTATGAGGTCTCCGTGCCCAAAGATGACACATCATATAACCTCACTGGCCTTGAACCCAACAAAAAAATACAAGGTTATGGTGTCAGCAGGCTACGGGGCACAACGCAGTAAAGAGACAGTCTTAGCCATAGGTAAGTACAAGCATAATTGTTTGACTTAGTGTCCGTTTTTATTATAAAAAAAATTATTCTAAGAATGTCCTGAAGTTGCATATGTTACGGTTTACGAATTATTGAGATAAAATGCTCGTGAGTCCTCTTTAAACTGCTCGTGAGTCCTCTTTAAACCAGCAAAATAGAATACAAACAAGTCTATTATGCTCAGTTATATACAATGTTACAATGAATGACAGTACAGATATATAATACAATACTACTGGATCACAAATCTAAAATATTAGGTCCAGTAAAATACAGATGCATTGATTGAAGATTGTTGACAGTTGCGAAAGTTCAATGTAGTCGAGGCCTCTTGAGTGGGGGTCTTGAAATGTTGCTGTGAGCAGACAGATGAGCGTAAATCCAAAGCAGTAGTCCCGTACATCTCAGCAACAATCCCTTATATACCTATTAACAGTTTTGGAGAATTCTAGCAAACACCATGCCATACTATGATCATTTAGAAATTACTGGAATCCCCTCATAGCTTACAGCATCCTACCGAAAACAAAGGGAAACATAGGGAAGGTAACTCTAACTTAAGCATAACAGGTGAAATTACATAGCGTAAGTTTAAGATGCGAGTTCTAATCCACACTCAGCGGTTTATACTTTGAGACTAAAAGTTAATCAATGCGACATAATTAACAAAAACATATCCTCATAACACATAAAAGAAAGTTTTGACTCATAAAAGTTCAAACAGTAACTTAGGCGACACTCTGAGAGGGTATATCAACAGTATTTTATGACAATGCCTGTGCTATAACAAACATATTGGAACTCTTTGACTTTCATGCGATATGTCATGTAACACAATGACGATCACATTTCAAAAACTGAGAGTTTAGACAAGAGCATAAATGCGGAAAGACTCGTGATCACTTTAGAGCGAATCAAAAAGTCGATTCCACAATCAAGGAGTTCTTGAGCCCCTAAGCACTTCTTAACTCAAAGTAGTAATCACGTTCATATCTGCTTGACTTCCAGCGGCGGACGACACGACTGCTGAAACTCTAGGCGCGGGGGCTGTAGCTGGAATCATTATAAGTGAGTAGAAAGGAATTTCTCGTTGGTCATATTCACCTGGATGGATTCATGGTCCAACCTTCATACATCCTTGTAGATGGTGATTACATGTAAATTGGGACGGTGGGGTAGCTCAGAGGCTTTAAAGCGTTCGCTCGTCACGAAGACCCGGGTTCGATTCCCTACATGTACATGATGTGTGAAGCCCATTACTTGTGTCTCCCGCCGTGATATTGCTGGAATATTGCTAAAAGAGCCGTAAAACTAAACTCACACGAATACATGTATCAGCCAGTCAGAGCCTGGTGATCTGGTTGATGACGTGACCCCACACCCGATGCTTATAATATCATTCACTGGTTTGTCTCGTCCTGCTTCTTACAGGCCGCTGTTGCATATGTTGAATGGGGTCTTATCAACAATAAAACTGACAAATACTTTCGTCTTATATGCATGTACATACTCATCATAGTCACGATATGGCTGAAATATTGCCGATGTGACTTTAAATCTTAACTCACTCACTCACACACTCATCTGCAAACTGCGTGTTCATATTTTGCATTCTCGGTTTGCCAGATGGCCAAAACTACCATCTTTAAGAATCCAGGTGTATTGGTGTTAATTACCTTGTGGACACTGATATGAAATTGGATTCAAACATGCCACATAGTTTATAATTCGAATCGTGTTTAATATTGTAACTAGTTCTATACGCACAGGTAAATGTCTTTTACAAACTTTCTATTTCATTGACCCCGATTGGGATCAAACTGTGATTGTTTATCTTGAAAAGTGGTTTAATGTACTTTAAAATCAATATGCTTGTGGTTAGGAACATAATCAAATATTTTCATGTTACAGTAAATTATACAATGATGTATGATTTTTGGAGATCTGGCCATTGGTTCGATTCCCATTTTGGTTCTGTGATAAAGTTGATATTTTCACACATGATATCGCCACTCATGCACACATCGATCGATCAAATAAACAATTTGCCAAATATCATCGATGTAATTGAGACCCGTGGAGATCCGGGTTAGATTTGGTCTTCAGCAAACAATGTAGTAAGAGACGGCTAATTGGATGGGGTGGGGCAGGCTCTCGGACTTGGTGGACACAAGTATCCCAGTTGAGTAGATGGATGCTCATGATATCAATCACTGGATTGTGTGGTCCAGATTACGTTACATGTTAAACATCAAAATAGTTGAGTTCAGTGTTAAACAACAAACATGCTTCGGAATTACAGTTAATGTAGGTGCAAGTTTCATATGCAGGACTAAACGCTGCCATTGATCACGAAGAAGACCTGGGTTTGATTCCCCACATGTGTACAGATATAGAAATCCATTTCTGGTGTCTCCTGGACACTGCCGGAATAAACGGTTCTGAGCAATTCTCACTCACACACTCACTCACTCACTCACTCGATTATGTACAGACCGCAGCCATATAGTTGTAATATTGCTGAGAACGGAGTGCAGCAACAAACAAACAAACTAACAAACGATATATTTTCTAGTCTGATACCCTTATTATGATCAATTCTGGTCTCTTGCTAGTAATCCTGATAGTGCTGGCAGTTGCTGGAGTCGGATTCTTTTTGTGGAGGACTGGAAGAATGCAGAAACTGATCAGAGGACGCCAGAAGAGATATGGTGAACCAGAGGCTCCCGCGACAGGAAGGACGACCAATAACATTCGCCCTCCAAAGAACACAGCGTGTTACGACGTAGGTATCGGTAATCACGCATGCTGTGCAACAGTGTAATAATGTCATAGATGTATATGAGGGGACAAGCTGATAAATATGTTTTTTTGTATTGAGTTAGTGAGTGGTCGAGGCAACTGTATTGGGTATTATGGCGTTGCGTATTACCTGTCCTGGACCCGTGAAGATCCGGGTTAGAATTGATCTTCAGTAGCCCATGCTTGTAGTAAGAGGCGACTAAAGGGATTGGGTGGTCAGACTCGCTGACTTGTTTGACACATGTCATCATATCCCAGTTGCGTAGATCGATGCTCATGATGTTGATCATGGGATTGTCTGGCCCAGACTCGATTATTTACAGACCGCCGCCTTAGAGCTGGAATAGTGGCGTTAAACAACAAGCAACCAACCAACGTGAGCTGACTATCGACAGACAGCGCCGTTGTATTCCAATCGCTCCCACAGACAGAGAAACCATCAAACTCGTACAACTCATTTTGGTCTTCAAAAGGCTCAAACATTCGTGTTTTACTGTGCGATGCAGTGAGACAGCGAAGCGAGGGCGTGGAACCTCCCGGGTGCTCATGCTTTCAGGGGGCAGTGGGATAGCCTAGTGGTTAAAGCGTTGGCTCGTCACAACGAAGAGCCGGGTTCGATTCCCTACATGGGTACATTGTCTGAAGTCCATTTCTGGTGTCCCCAGCCGTGATATTGCTTGAATATTTCTAAAAGCGGCGTAAGACCAAACTCAGTCACTCATGCTTTCAGTCACTGTTTATATGGTATCGTAATGCTTTGCTTCGGGATGTAGCTGGAATAGTGCTCACGCCTGCGCAGCATTCCCAGATTATATCATTCTTTCACCCAGTGTGTGCACTGTTTATTCCAGAACATGACGTACACACCTGAAGATGACATCTACGTCTACGGCGGCATGAGCTTCACGGCGAAGCAGCCAGGGTACATGTCGAAAGATCAGCTGTCACTACTGGAGGAGATTCAAACTGGAAGATTTGCACGAATTTTCAAGGCTTCTTACAAGACTGGCAAAAAGTCACACGAGGCGGCGGCAAAGGTCCTCAAAGGTAACCCTCTGAAAGAAATTGCTCTCTTGATAATATATATACCTAAGTGTAGTTTCGGGTGCAACACGGTACATTTGAGAACTATTATCCTTTACACCATCGTTCTTGAAGCTGGAGGGGCGATGGATTAGTCTAGTGGTTAAAGCGTTCGTTCGTCACGCTGAAGTCCCGGGTTCGATTCCCCACATGTGTACAATGGGTGAAGCCCATTTCTGGTGTCCGCCGCCGTGATGTTTCTGGAATATTGCTACTAATTGGCGACTAACGGGATCGGGTGGTCAGGCTCGCTGATCCTAATTGCGTAAAACGGTGCTCATGATGTTGATCACTGGATCCGACTTATTTACAGACAGCCGCCATATAGTTGGAATATTGCTGAGTGCAGTGTCAAACTAAACTCACCCACTCACTCATCAACCAAACCATCATGTCGCTTAAGATACTGTCTTAATGCCAGTGATGGGTATCCACTGACAAGGTGCTGGTCAGTCTCATTAACTTCATTGCATAATTTACAATCTGATACAAAAACACACACAGCTTCGAGTGGAAAGTACTGGACCTGAGCAGCACAGAGAAAACCTTCTGTTTCACTTTTCAGGCCAAGCGACTTCCTGTTCTTCTCAACGCACTACAACTTCTCAACTTATTCTCAAGTCGATGCAGCCAAGCCATTAAAATCTGAACTTATTGTTGTTGTTATTATTGTTATCATATATTATTTGCAGGCACGCCTGACGAGGATAGTAATTTACTGATGATGGCCAAAATCAACTTCGCTGCAACAAGGGTCGGGGAACATTCCAACGTGCTGAAATTCATCGGCGCAGTCGTTGATAATGATGCGTGTAAGTGATGCCCATTTCTTGCGTTCACCTTCTGATATTGCTGGAATATTGCAAAAAAGCGGCGTAAAACCACACTCATTCACTACTCACGTAGGAAATGCAGGATGTAAGATCCTGAACCTCCTTGCCAATATCATGACTACGGCTACCTCTGGCGTCTTTTTCAGTCATCTTAATATTACCACACTTTAACACTCTGTTTCTGGTCTGAAACCAGGATCTTGGTTGTTTGGAGAGAAAACAATGGAAAGTATGAATTGCCCTCATGGTGTTTACTCAGAAGATTAGGTTGCTCGATATCATGAAAAGAAATGTGTTAACAAAATATATTTTTCGCTTCCTCCGTTCTAGCGCACACATCCCCTGAATACGTGTGATCTTGTAGAACCTGTCATTGCCATATCTGATATATACCTTCTTCTTCAGTGGGGCCGGTGTTGGTGTTGGAGTACTGTGAAAATGGTCCGCTGGACAAGTGGCTGACCTCTAGACAGGACAAAGTGAATCTTGAAGTTCTGGAGCAGATTCAGACATTTGTCTTAGGCATTGCTCGGGGTATGGAGTATCTCGTTAGTAAAGAGGTATGTATTTACTGGACACTCTCTGTGTTGTGGCAAGTGTAAAGTGCATGTATTGACTTTCAGGAGGTGGAGTTAGGAAAAAGTTGGTTGGTTCCCTTAGGCATTGGTTGGGTGGGCTTTCTTTTTATTGTTTACTCGTTATTTTGGTCCATATATTTTAAAAATGTGAGACGGTAAACGTTTTTGTTCGTAATCTTATGTTTGAAAAACAAGTATATTCAAGGTATATACATTACGTTACAAAGGTACATTAAGTCTTGACTTGAGTGTTTTTGTTAGTTTGTTTGTTTGTTTGTTGTTTAACGCCGCATTCAGCAATAATCATCTATAGGCCACCGGTCTCTTAATAATCGAGTCTGGACCATGCAATCCAGTGATCGACATCATGAGCATCAATATACCCAATTGGGACACGATGACATGTGTCAACCAAATAAGAGACCCTGACCACCCGATCGCGATAGTTACCTATTACGACAATCATGGGTTGATGAGGACCAAGAATGGGACACATGTAGCGATATGTCCTGTTCTCATGGAAAACAAAGACTGTACCAGTTTAGCTCAATACAATGTCCTTCTCCAGGTTGTCCATCGCAAACTGGCTGCTCGCAACTGCCTCTTGACAAGCACAAATGAAGTGAAGGTCAGTGGATTCGGACCAAGTCGCATGGAAGACGCCAGTGCGGATGATGCCTCCAAAGGGGTAAGAAGGGAAATATGTAACATATATCTTGCGGCCAGCAATCGGGTCTGAACAGGACCCTCGTTTCATAAACAACTGTAACGCAAAGAAATACGGAAGCTTCATATTTTAACAAAGGCTTACAGCAGACGTTATGCTTGTGGAACATTGCCAAGGCAAATCAGTTGTAGACCAACGGTAAATCCGGGCTCATTGACACATAAACAGTAAAGGAACATAGATTGCCCATTCGGCCCTTCAAATAAGCCTAATGTCAGTTGTAACCATGATAAGTAGTTTTATCAAAATGGCATAAACCCTGAGTGTTGATATGTTACACATACACACAGGATCGAATCCCTGTGAAGTGGACGGCGCCAGAATGTCTTCAGTCTCTGAAGGGAGCCAATGAGAAGAGTGACATCTGGTCCTTTGGGGTGACTATGTGGGAAATCCTCAGCATGGGTAGGTGTGACAAATATATTCTTGGAAGTGCATTGAAATGTTTAATGTAATTAGTTAAGTACTTAGGTATACATGTATGTCTGTGAGAACGTGGACGTAGATTGTGATGGATGTGTATGTGAATGTGAACTAAGGCATTTTTGTGTTACGTTGTTGTAACAATTCTTGATTAATATCGATGATATTCTGAATTGGTAAGGTATAGATATTGTTTGGTATAGTTTTCGTCACTAAATAGAAGTATTTGAGAATATGGTTTCTATTATTTTTTGTGTATGTGGGAATTTTTTGTCTGATGTTTAACGCTGCCAATACGCTACCTATGCGAGGCATATAAATAATCGCATCTGAGCCAGACAGTCAACCAAGCAAGCGAGTTTGATCACTCGCTCCCGTTAGTTGCGTCTTACGACAAGCATAAGGTGCTGAAGAACATTTCTAGCCCGGATCTTCACGTATGAGCTCATGGAGGTAGTTTTAGTATACACCCTGTGTTTTATCTCTCAACAGGCCAGATCCCTTACGGTGAAATGAGGAGCCGAGACCTGCCGACCCAGCTTAAGAATGGTTACAGACTCTCGAAGCCGGAATACGCTGAAGACGTGTAAGTGGTTAGATGCATGTATACTAACACCAGTGATGTTTCATACGGTACTTCGTGACCAAGGTGATTAATGACAATTTTAAAAAGTGGCTTAAAGCGTTTAGCGTTAACATGACCACCTGTTATAGTCGGGTCAGGGTCAAATAAGCAGTGGTCGAATGCATGAAGAGCGATTCAGGCCGATAACAGGCAAATCATATAATCATTAATTGACTTGCGAAACCTGAAGTACACTTGTGTGTGTGCGTATGTGCATGTGTGTGTGCGCGCGTGCGCGTGTGCTACGTAATAGGCGTGAAGCAATGTAATAAGTGAATAAAAAAGCGTCAGAATACCCAGAAGATATGGACCCTGCTTCACAAAGCAATCTGAGCAACTATTGTGAGCCTCAAAGAAAGTTTTACGAGAGTAGCGCTAAGTATACATTGTGAACGGTGCTCTGTAAAGCATGTAAAATAATTAGGTAATTATTGTATAACAAAAGCAAAATGTCTCGTGTTTATTTTATCCAGCCACTACAGTCTGATGCAAAGCTGCTGGAAAGAGAAACCAGAGGCCCGGACTACTTTCGCGGATGCAGTGGGGAAACTGGAGGCCTCATTCGGTCTGAGACCCACTTCCGGAATGATGTATTACTACTCGAAATAGTCGACCTCTTGGGCAGCGTTTTGACTACAGTGTTTCGTTCGCAAACAATGCTTGTATCCATTTGGAGAACAGAATGATCTTTTCTATTTTTCCATTTTCCACAAATGTATTAGTAATTAAGATAGTATTACTTATATTTTATTTACAGTAATTTTACGTCATTTTAGTTTCAGTCTGTTGAATTTCTTTCAGCATTTCCACATATGGAACAGGAACCCAACTGTTTGGCCAAAATGTAAACAACAAGCACGCAAGATTAAACCGTGATACAATAACACTTGTCATCAAAATATTCCAAAATGCTCAATTTCTTTATCAACCATTTTTATACTGATTAGTCCAAATTCCCTTTGATATAACAAATTGCTCAAATATTAACGCCTGTTCCATGTTTTATGTTTTTACGAAATATGTATCACCTATGCACATACACACCATCATTACTAGATAGAAATGTAACTTACCTCCCTTTTCCGTGTCAGGATCTGATCGTGGGTTCGATTCTCCATGACCATTTACTAAGGTCTTTCCTGAAAGCTTAGCTACTGAACTGAAATTCTGTTCAAAGCATCCTAATATAAATCACCTGTTTGGTATCATTAATATCCAGCAACATCATCACACGCATCTGGCTGTAACAGAATCAAGTCATATATATGTTTTATATGTCTTTTGTTTTCACGGAGCGCATAGATCTTCGTTGACACACACATATGAAAATAACAATAGCATGGCAACAACTGTACCTGAATTCTGCGTACTTAATGTTTCGGTATTACTTGTATACTTCATAATTCAACATACATATATAATCTCTGGAACGTTTCAACACTTATTATTTTTAATGTCATATTAAACATGTCCGCCACGTCAGCCATATTGAATAGTCGTTCTGGTAAAATATATTGTCATTTATTTAAAATGTATCAAGTGTACTTCTGTCGATATGTGTAATTTCAATAGTATTTTGCTAATGGCAATTGGGGCGATGGGGTAGCCTTGTGGTTTCACACCGAAGACCCGGGTTCGATTCCCCGCATGGGTACAATGTGTGAAACCCATTTCTGGTGTTCCCCGCGGTGATAATGTTGGAATATTGCTAAAAGAGGCGTAAAACTAAACTCACTCACTCACTCACTCACTCTAATGGCAATTCGGTTTTGGCATCTCCTGAAAGCACGAACAAATTAGTTTAATCACATTTTCTGACAGAATGCTCCTTTTGCTATATTTTATAACAATTATTTATATTTCTCGTTTATAGTGATAGACTGATCCAGTTTTCTTATGTATGAATAATTACAGCACTTGCAATATATTCATTTGTTATCTCTGGTTTATTGTTTATCTCGACTATATTACCTCGTGTAATGAACGAAGATGCTTAGTAACTAATCATTCAGTGTAGTGCATTTGATTTGTAGGCGATAACTGAAAAGAAAGATGGCATAATCGATGTGTCCTTCCGTCCATTTACCTACATCTGTCAATGTCTGTCTAGTGGCGGTGGGGTAGCCTTGTAGTTAATGGTTAAAGCTTTTGCTCGTTGCGCCGAAGATCCGGGTTCGATTCCCCACAGGGGTACAATGTGTGAAGCCCATTTCTGGTGTCCTCCACCGTGATAGTGTTGGAATATTGCTAAAAGCGGCGTAAAACTAAACTCACCCCCATGTCTATGTCTGTATTCTTTATGATGTGTGATCTACGAAAAACCCAATAACCTGTCTTTCAGTTACCATTATTTGATTTTGTGTTGTTCCCATCTGAATAAGGGCAACATCAATGGTCAGTCCCTTCCGTCTGTCTGTCTGTCAGTCAGTGTTTATCGTTGAATACAAAATGTGTTACAAAAGTGCTCATCTTGTATGAGAGGGGTTTTTTTCAACACTAATGTGAACACATTCAACGCAATATATTGTATTTTGTGTCGTACATAGTTGAATAAAGATGTCATCAGATATTATAGTTCTTACTCTTTTAAACTAAGACAAGATCAGGGGCCCGAGTCTGATGAGTTTCATTTCTGCAACCCGTCAATATCCGGGTTAGAATTGGTCTTCAGCAGCCCGTGCTTGTCGTAAGAGGCGACTAACGGGACCGGGTGGTCAGGTTCTCTGACTTGGTTGACACATGTAATCGTATGAATCTGTCTTGATTTCAGTAAATATGTATAATGAATCAGTGTAGATTTCAGTAAATATTTATAACGAATCAGTGTAGATTTCTGTAAATATTTATAACGAATCAGTGTAGATTTCAGTAAATATGTATAATGAATCAGTGTAGATTTCAGTAAATATGTAGATTTCAGTAAATATGTACAATGAATCTGTCTAGATTTCAGTAAATATGTATAATGAGTCAGTGTAGATTTCAGTAAATATGTATAATGAATCAGTGTAGATTTCAGTAAATATTTATAACGAAACAGTGTAGGTTTCAGTAAATATTTATAACGAATCAATGTAGATTTCAGTAAATATGTACAATGAATCTGTGTAGATTTCAGTAAATATGTATAATGAATCTGTGTAGATTTCAGTAAATATGTATAATAAATCAGTGTAGATTTCAGTAAATATGTATAATAAATCAGTGTAGATTTCGGTAAATATGTATAATGAATCAGTGTAGATTTCAGTAAATATGTATAATAAATCAGTGTAGATTTCAGTAAATATGTATAATAAATCAGTGTAGATTTCAGTAAATACGTATAATAAATCAGTGTAGATTTCGGTAAATATGTATAATAAATCAGTGTAGATTTCGGTAAATATGTATAATAAATCAGTGTAGATTTCAGTAAATATTTATAATGAATCAGTGTAGATTTCAGTAAATATGTATAATGAATCTGTGTAGATTTCAGTAAATATGTATAATAAATCAGTGTAGATTTCAGTAAATATGTATAATAAATCAGTGTAGATCTCTGTAAATATGTATAATGAATCAGTGTAGATTTCAGTAAATATGTATAATGAATCAGTGTAGATTTCAGTAAATATGTATAATAAGTCAGTGTAGATTTCGGTAAATATGTATAATAAATCAGTGTAGATTGTCCTGGCCGGAGGCGAGATCAGACAGGTGGCACCAGAACCACAGAGGTCTATTGTTTAATGCCGCGCCCAGCAATGTTCCAGCTATATGGCGGCGTATGAAAATAATCTAGTCGGAACTAGACAATCCAGTGACTGACATCATGAGCATTGATATACGCAATAGGGATACAGTGGCATGGCAATAGGGATACGATGACATGTGTCAGCCAGCCGATCTCAGTGGTCGGGCTGCTGAAGACCAGCTCTAAGATCTTCACGTGTATGACATAACAAATTGTTTTTGAAATTACGTTAAAGGTTACAAAACACAGATACTGTCATGAGGCAGTCTGCCAAAAGAGGGAATCTACATGAATATATGACTAAATGGTGCCTTGGCCGTCATGATCAGCAAACCTGACCAACTTACCCGTTAGTCGCCTCTTACCACAAACATGGGTTGCTGAAGACCAGTTCTAACCCAAATCGTCACAGGTAACTTCTGAGTCGATAAATGTGTTAACATTCTACAAGGCAACTGCCATTCAAAACCCGACCACTAACGTACTTGTAATTACCAACAGTAACGTTCGATCTCCAACAACGATTCTGGCTTCCTACTGACACTATTGTCTCGGGATGTCCTTGACTGTTACTTGATTGAATGACGAGTACTTCCGGTCGGACAGGAAGCCAACACCCAATTTGGTTGTAGGGTTGGGTATTGCCAAAAGTTTCGTTTTGCGATAGATTGTGGTATGTCTTGGCGTATTGTAGTATGTATTGCAATATATTGTGACAGTGTAACACGTGGTTTAAGGCAATGAAATGATTGTTTCCTTTCTCTTGAAACAATGCCGCTGGTCACTGTCAGGACTAAGATGGCATTGTAAAAGAGATCAATTGAAAATGTTTCCAAATTGAAGACTTTGCTGTAAAGTTTGGAACGCGAGAAAAAGCGTTTGCAGCGGCGTCCATCATTTTGGTTTGACATTCTTAAAACTATTACTGTATGATAATATAAAGGAAACACAAAAGTTATTCGCATTTGTGACTACATCACGACATTTACCAATCATGGTCACGGAAATTGGCGATCGTATCCGGTGAACCGGTGGGCGAAAAATGTGCCTCAGTATATCGGATTGTGAAGTTCGAATTGCAAATATCGGTTAACCGGTATTATCGCCCATATCGGTTGTGGTGAACAGCTGGTTTTCAGTGACCCAGTTATATTCACCATTAGTCTGTTTTATAAGCTGATTGGAATCTGTGAATCTGAGGATAATCGAGACTGGTTATTCTCTGGCGTTGACTTTTTATGCTTAGATCTGTCAAACGTCCCTTTCTGGGATAACTTATAGACTGAGTCATACAGTGTACAGTTTAAAATGCAATTATAACCCAATATAGGCACAATCGGAATAACGTACGTCTACGTGTACGTTTCACGTGGTGTCTATTAGATTGATCTGCTTCGAATTCGTACAGCTAGATCGCGAGGAAGAAACCGTTAACAGTTCGGGTCTAACGTTCATCTAACAAATAACAGACGTCTCTTAGGTCAAAACAAAAGTACATGTTTAAACAAGAGGTTATCAGCTGATCATCCCACGTTCCACCCGTAGTTGGAAGGACATTTGACAACTGCTGACCCGTTAAACAGTTTTTGAGTATCCGCTCTGTGACTAAAGGTGTTGAGCTAAAAAACAATTTCCAAATAAAGCACATTACAGTTTTCGAGTGAGTGAGTGAGTGAGTTTAGTTTTGTGCCGCTTTTAGCAATATTGCAGCAATATCACGGCGGGGGACACCAGAAATGGGCTTCACACATTGTACCCATGTAGGTAATCGAACCCGGGGCTTCGGCGTGACGAGCGAACGCTTTAACCATTAGGCTACCCCACCGCCCCGACATCTGAAGCCACTAGAAGCATATGTAAACAAGTGCTTGAACTGTCTTGATGTTGATATCGGCAGTTGTTGTATCATTTTGGCTTAAGGTCCAGTTACTCAGTCCCATCTTGCCCAGGCAAACCAGTGTTTCAATGAAAAACTGTCGACCAGAAGAAACTTTGCAACGTCATTCAAACGAAACGTATTGCAATGTTTTTTTTCTCAGAACTGGTATACTGGGTGATAAAATTAGATGAGGTTTTGTGAGTGAGTGAGTTTTACGCCGCTTTTAGCAATATTCCATCACTATCACGGCGGGGGACACCTAAAATGGGCTTCACACATTGTACCCATACCCAGGTCTTCGGCGTGACGAGTGAACGCTTTACGGAGAGGGTGTTCTGTGTTGTACCCAATCCTTTTCTCATGAATAGAATATGTTTAAAACAAACAAAACAACACTTTAACCACGAGGCCACCCCACCACCCCTGAAATTTTGTGATTATCTCTTTGGTTTAAATTAAAATGTACATAGATTTTCATTCACACTGAAATTTTCCATTGTAATTAATTGACAAAACAGCATACGTTACATACAATATATTTTATAAAAGAGAAAATCGAGATTCCGGTTATCACAACCATAACATATATTTTAGGGATTTAGTATGTAGAAAATAAGCTCTGTAGGTACAGTCACTCACGGACTAAAAATGAAGCTCACAATATATCGAAATACGTATTGGAAGAAGGGTACCCGAATCGCAGTATATTGCAATGCAATATTTTGAATTTATTTGCCCCAGTTATATAATAGCACCACACCCGTGTTGTTTTTGTTCCCAAGTGGAAAACGTGCTTCACCTTGGGCTTTCCTTAGTCCGTGAAGGTTACACTTGGTCTTCAGCAATCCATGCTTGTCGTAAGAGGCGTCTAACGGCATCGGTTGGTAAGGCTCGCTTAGTTGACATCGTATCCCAATTGCATAGATCGATGCTCATGACGTTGATCACTGGATTGTCTGGTCCAGACTTGCCGCTATACAGCTGGAATATTGCCGAGTGCGGCGTTAAACAACAAACTAAACTCTGTGAAGGAATAAAAATACTTTCCAAAAGGCAATTTTCATGGAGACAGGTGATGTGCGATCCCTGCACCAAAACAAGTGATAATTAACTTCGAAAAAAATTGACATTTTAAATTTTAAATTCAATTAATAAAATATATTTGCATTGCACCCTGTCCATATACACTTGAGAAACATAAACTGATTTTCAGAATACATTTATATTGTAGGGCTAGTCCAGTTGAAAAAGCGTTCGCTCGTCACGCCGGAAGCCAATGTTCACTTCCCCACATGCGCACAGTGTGTGAAGCCCATTTGGTGTCCTCCGCCGTGATATTGCTGGAAGATTGCTTAAAAGTTAACTCACTACTCACTCACCACTCATCGTAATTTCGGGACTGGAACGGCATTGACTGAACTCCGTGCGATATAGATTCCTGTAATATATATGGGTGACTACTGAGGGGGAAGCAACTACTGCGATAGCGATAGTCTATTGCAACATACTATTGCGATAGCGATAGTCTATTGTGACCAATCTCCTTGATTTGTCTCATTTGAAGTCATTTCCCAAATTAATATATAGTATATATGAAATAAAAACAAGTTGAAGTAGTTTAAATCTCAGTTAATAACTGACCAGAAACTTGAAACCCAGATCAAGTAAACAGTTAAACATAACATGGGCGGATAACTCTAAATCAAAGTGAACTAATATGATACTTCCTGTATTTTATTTCAATAATTCAATGTTTCTACCAATATATATATGCATTCTATAATATTACTCACTTGTTTGGGAACCGACATCCTCGTTCAGCGGAAAGTTCCCGAGTAGTTATCGGTCCTGTCTGTGACTAAAGGTGATTGATTACGTCACGGAACTCCGCCTATACATTTTACAGTTGTGAGGCAAGTTTCCCAAATTAATAAAACACATGAATGTATGGGAGTTGAAGCCAATCGGTGTATATGTGAGTGAGTGAGTATGGTTTTACACCGTCTTTAGCAATATTCCAGCAATATGACGCTGGGGACACCAGAACTGTGCTTCACACATTGTACCCATGTTGGGAATCGAACCCGGGTCTTCCGTGTGACGAGCGAACGCAATAACCACTAGGCTATCTCACTGCCCCTCAACATAGAGGACATTACCTCGTTGCAAAGTTTGATGCAAAGTGAATCTGTGCCGATTTGACAGGACACTTCACTTCGTTGACAGTCATTTTGTACCAATCAACAATGACATTGAGGTGGTGTCCGTCACCCCTGGCTCTTATTAGATAACTGTGGAATACCTTGGGCGTTGACTATTATTATTTTTTCCAGACATGCTCGACGTGAAAAACCCGTGAAGATCCGGGTTAGAATATTGATTTTCAGTAATCTATGCTTGTCGTAAGAGGCGACTAACGGGTGGGATCGGGTGGTCAGGATCGCTGACTTGGTTGATGTTGATCACTGGCCGTGGAGTCCAGTATTTACAGACTGCAGCTGGAATATATTGCTGAGTGCTGTGTTATACATCAAACAAACAAAGCCATGTCTGCATGTTTTAGCACGATTACCGTGTTTGACACCCTTCACTGGCTCTGACCAACGGGATCGGATGGTCAGGCTCGCTGACTTGGCTGACACATGCCATCGGTTCCCAGTTGCGCAGATCAATGCTCATGCTGTTGATCATTGGATTGTCTGGTCCAGACTTGATTATTTACAGACCGCCACTATATAGCTGGAATATTGCTGAGTGCGGCGTAAAACTCAACTCACTCACTCACTCGACGAGAAAAATATTCCACTGATGGCGGCCAAGATCAAAGCTGCTACCACAACGCTTCAATGTTACACACAGTAACAACACATTTTATTATCATACCTCACACTTAAACGTCGTTTTTCTCAGCGCTCTTCCATTATTTTTCAGTATACCCTGCTTAGAAGCGAGTAACATTTTGTGTTACCCGCTGGGAATGCGGAACTGTTGGAATTCATTTGGTACTTCGTGTTAGTAACTCTGTACTTTTAATAATTAAGTCACGTATGATCTACGGAAATTACCGATGTTATGCGAATGCAGATCTATGGATCCCCCCCCCCCCCCCAAATCATGAACGGTGTACAAGTTCTCTGTACAGTCTACTTGGCGGGACTGAGATAACAAACAGTGGTATTGTGCTTCCTTGTTAGAGGGTATATAGTCTCGATCCAGTCACTCATGCGGTCATTCAGTATGGCAGCGTTTGTATTGGCAGTTTTCATTGTGGTTCTCGCTGTGGAAGACTCTGTTCAATGGAGCGGGTAAGATTTATGGTTTTTACGAAAACTGAAACCAGCAGAATTCGAAAAGCAGAAATCATTTTAACTTTTTTTCTGCTGATACAAACCATAGTGTTATTTTGGTTATTGCTAGTGTTTAAAGGGAGATTGCTCTCGACTGTCCAAAGAAATGTTTTCATATATGCCATATATATGAATATGACTGTGACTGCTACGGGCAATTTAAAGTTGTTTAAGATTAAATATTAAAGTCAGCCGCCTAACCCGCTCGGCCACCGCGACATCCACAAACTGGTAGTCTAGACTGCGGACTTTCTGTACCCCTCCTATAATGGTGCTAACGTAGAACATGCTGAAACTGTCCACAAACACCTGGTGTCTAGAAAGCCTTATGCGCCCGCTTCGGCTGATATTGAGGCTGTGTTTTCGCAAGTGTTGATGTTTTAAATGAAATGTTTTATTAGCCGTGCGTACTTGCTATTGTGTACATTTCAGTGTCTGTTGTAATTAACCAACTTCCGTGAAACAGTATCAAAACTGGCATTAGGAAAGCAAGGTTTCCACGCAGAGAAATGTTGATGGCAACAGAAAAATTGACGTTTCGGTTGCTGTACATGCCTTAGTATCTACACCATTATCGGCACCATTATCAGTATCGGTAGCTGTATGAATTAAGAAATACCATTTTGTGACGGAACTGACACTCTAATGTGAAATCCACAAATCACCCAGTCACTGTTTAGCACTTGCCTTCAGCGTAATAAGATATACTAGTGATGATATTTATAACGCGCCTTTCCAGACTTCATATCCTGCTCAAAGCGCACAATCTGATTTTTATTACCCTTGATAACCCAAGTTGTCTGTGAGGAGCTAGAAGGTTAATGACAAACTCACTTGACTAAGGTGAGGCCAAATGTACTCTGTTATGGGGCAGGACTGAAGTCATAGAACCTGTCAGGAGTTAAGCTGTCACACACGGTCACCCATCCAAATACTCTCCACATGCAACGTTGCTTATCTTCAACTGATTTGTGACCTGAGCTCTATGCACAGGTCCACAAACCACAACAAGACATATGGGCGTGCACATTATTATATCTTTGTAAAGTGACAGATAAGTACACAGATAAGAAGCAGTGGGGATGGGACACGGTTGGAGGAGCGTCATGTCCCATGTGCGTGACTTATCAGGAAACACGAAGGAAGGGTATTGTCCCGCTTTTGATGGCAGCTTGGATAAAATACTTTGCCCGAAATTTCGTATTGCGATATATTGCGATACACTCTTCTGTATTGCGATACGTATTGCAATATATTGTGAAAGAACAGTTTTTGAGATCTGTCCACTTGGTAATATTATTTTAGCTTCAAATTGAATCACAGTATATGTTAGTAACCATTGTGCATTGTATAGCTTCTTTCAAAGTGAAAAAAGAAAATCCAGAACATTCTTCTGCAATATTTTTATTATAAAACAACAGGAATCGACACTCACTAAAGATTTTAACTGGCCATCCGGGCTCGTGGATTTTGTATGTCACTAGTCCTTTCCCAAATAATTACTAGCCCTACGCTTTACTATAAAAAAACCCCTTTCAACAAGTGTTTCTTTTAATTGTAGCTGCTGTCCAAAGGAAAGTTAACGCAGATAAATGTATGATATCTCATTTCATATATATGACAAATTCAGCTGAAACTAGCTCTTTAAACAGCAAAGGATGTTGAATTTCAAATAATTTAAAGAGTTAAAGAATTTACTGTACACCTCTCTATTACTCAAGAAAAATTTAATTGAAGTCACAATCATGTGACATGATCTTGAAGTGCCCATTCTAAGCAAAACGTTTAATTTTAACATTACCTATTTCATGAATGACGTTTCGTACACATTGACATACATATATTATTTAACAAAACACTCACGATGGGCAAAAGTCACTCTGTATCAGGTAAAGTACACTTTCTTTAGACTGAATAGAATAATGAAAAAAAAATGAAACATGAGAAACATAACCTTATAATAAGATAGAAGCCTACGTTTATCAAGGAAAATATCAGCTCGTGAAACATTATTGCTATGTCATACACCATTTATTTTTTTTAGGTCTAATCCAACTGTCGATAAATACCAAAGGTATGTTGATCATATTATTCAAATAATACAACTTCAACTTAAATAAGTTTATTTCCAATAGTAATACATATTCACACACTTAAAATGTCCATATAAACCACGAAGGAGACGTTAACTACCGCTACTTTAATCCATTTGTAAGATGCCATAATATCCTCTTACCTATTTCTTTTATATTTTCATTTTTACGTAATCAGAATATTATTATATCAAGATTAATTAAATAATATGTATTGTCGCCTATTTCCCGATAACCGTGGCTTTTCACCCGGTAACCTGACACAACATTGGGACAGGCCTCCGTTTTCGAAGCTCCGTATGAACAACACTCTAGAAGATTCATTTGATGGCGGGTATTGTTCCAAAGCTCTAATCATCAATTATATTACAGTAACCTTGCCAGGAGTATTTTCGCAGTTGTAAGAAGCGATTTTATTGGATAAAGGTTGGTTTCTAATGACGGTTTTTCCCCACAGTCTGCTATAAGGTTCGTGATTGGTAAAAATCATGCCCGTAAGCCAATCATATTACAGCAATGGATAGCGTCCTCATAAACGAAAACTTTTAGACAAAAGTTTTTGGTACAATAATGCTTTTCTGAACGTGTTAAGCAACAAATCGCCATATACGTAAATTATAGTACTTATTGGACGTCTCGTGCTAGGTGGCCACCTGTGACAAATATTCTTTAAGCAAATATTTTCTCATTAAACATCGTGTCCGAGCATGAAGATCGAGGTGACGAAAGCCGAGATGTCACTTGACTTGCATAACATGATCAAACGAAAAGATGGAAATAGTAACTTAGATGTACGTTTGACAACTTTTATGAAAACTGTTGATTTTATTCATTAGTTTATTCAATTGTAATGATTTCCTCGAAACGTCCATACTTTGCTCTTTGACAATTTTTAAGTGGACCCGTTGCCAATCTTTTGGAAAGACTTCCGCCAATCACCACCCACCACCACCGCCACCGCCACCTATATTACCTGAATATACATATATATATTTTTCCTCACCATTAAAATTTAGGGGGTATACGGGCGGAAGTCTTATGTGCGGTGTTGAATGGGTTAACATTAAACAAATAAATCTTTGGCGGTATACGTCATAAAAGTATCGCTAAACGTAATTGTTACAATTTCGTATTGCGGTTTACCGGTATACCGGTAATATCGTGCAGCCCTATAAAATACAACTAGTTTGTAGCATACATTGTATACTACTAGTATTACATACTAGACATAATACTCGACGCCTGGGAGACATTTAATTGAACCAGAAAAAACCCGTATACATTTCCGATTAAGGTAATCTTAGACATGAGATTAAGGCTAAGACTCTAGGTCATCAAGACAGAAGGGTTCATACCATTCTAGAGAGAGCAATTGGGTTCTCCGTTTCCAAGTTACATTTTGATTGATATATATATTTTTCCAATGTGTTTAATGTATACTATCTCAAAAAAGAAACGCATATGCGTTTTGTATTTTTAAAAATCTCTTAATTACCAGTTGTGTTCAAACAATCGTCAAAATATGTAACAAAAGTGTTGATAACATGCTCTTACATTCTTGTACAAGTTAAAAATCGACTTTACCTGAAAATGTTGATTTTGATAAGATTCTCACCAGAATTAAAAAGGCATCGCCAAAACGCAACCTTCCTGTTGAAATTGTGCAGCAAAGGGCATCCACTGTCTGGCTCTAAAAATCCAGATTAATTTCGGAAATCGGCATTCGTTTTGAAGGAGTTTCAAGGTGAAATCACTACGTCACGTCTTGACGCTGCGACACGGAACATCGCCATTGAAAGAATGCACGCTGGAGATTACCAATCTTCTGTTGCCAGGCGTCTGAATGTTAGGCTGAGCACGATATCACTGCTTGCAACTCGTTACAACCAAACAGGTATATCAAATGACCGTCCCCGTACAGGCAGACCTCGAGTCACCACTGCAACTCAAGATCGGTACATCCGGGAAGTACATTTGCGTCATCGTACTGCCATGGGTGAGAGCACAGCAGCTAGGGTGCCTGGACTTCGAAGGATATCCGGTCAAACTGTACGGAACAGAATGAGAGAGATTGGACTGAGAGCCAGGACCTTTTACTGTATTGATCACAAATTAGTAGATCATGGTACTCATCTTCAATGATATGTTTGTTGTTGCCAAAGGCCGTGATATTACAGCTTTAAGGCCGCGGTCTGTAAATTATCGACTCAAACAAGTAATCGACATCGATCCAGAATACGATGACATGTGTCAACCAAGTCAGCGAGCCTAACAACCCGATCCCGTTTTTCGCCTCTATCGACAATCATGGGTTGCTGAAGACCATTTCTAACCTGCATCTTCACAGACATATAATTTGTATTGTCTGCACATTGAGGGGTTTGTTTTCGTTATAACACATTTAAACTGAGCGAAACTGGGGTAGGGCTATTCATACATTCTTCAAATTGACATAACGCACGTATGGGTCATTCATGCAAATTTCTTCAAACAAGGAATAAGTAAAAGTACAGGAACTATTTTAAAGTTTTGTTGCCACTCTTGTACAGAATTATCTTTCCTTCCTATTACAAGTAAATCTAATAAATGCTGTTTGTCGCCAATTGCCATATTCCCACATAGCCAAGCCCAAGTCAAAATAGAACCGTTTTCACTTTTAATTCCTATTAAACCGACTCATGCATTTAGTCCAGATTATGTAACATTGTATACACTTTTGTCGAGTTTAGATTGCATGGACAATAGGTTTAACCAAACAACAATTCAAGTTTAAAGAGTCAATATATAAATAGGATATCTACCAGTTTCTCCAAGGACAATGTTATTGGGTGTAGACATTCGCAAACTTGGAAATCGTTTACTTGCATAAATATTACCCCTTTCAAACAATCGTGCTTATAGGACCCCCATAATGCTGACCAGTACAGTAATATGGGCATTATCTTAAAATATTTTAAAATAAATATCATAAAAGAGGTATAGAATGATTACTAAAAGTTTCTTGGCATACATTAAATGGTTTGGGGAGATAGGGACAATTCAGAGTTTTACTTAATAATACACCAAGATGTTGGTAGGAAGTGACAGCTTCAATGGTAGTTGATTTATAGGTTCATGTTTTGACAGTTTAGATCCATCTTTAAACACCATATTTTTTGCTTTATCGAGGTTGACGCGTATTGGATTAGTTTCTAAGGTATTAATTGGCCTTTGCAGCCCTATGACCGATGACCATTCCATCAGCAAACAGTAGTATATCGATACCAGTAAGATCTTGATATAACTGAACACGATTCACACATAAACAGTTAATCTCAACCACTATTTCGTTAATGATAAAAGAATACACAAAGGCTTAGGACACAACCTTGCCTAACATCAACGGGACTATCAAATACTCACTTAAGAACATTGTTATTTGTACGAACACAAGCTTTAACATTATCATGAATTTATTTTAAGCTTTTATCCATTTTTGAATGGAGACGATGCAATTCAAAAACACACCATAGTTTGTGTCTCTGCACTGAATCAAATGCGTATGGGAAATCTACAAAACATGTATATAATGTATCGACTTTTTTATACATATGGGCTAAATACTTCTTGAGTATATTGTCTGTGGTAGAATAGCTTGTTCTAAAACCCTCTTTTTTTTCATTTACCATTTGTTCACGGCTGATGACGAAGGACTGGAAGCAAAACAGGGCGTAGAATCCAATCTCTGTATCGTACGGCATTTAACCATCAGTTATGACAATGGCATCCTCTCGTCACCACAAATGCCTCCCCACACCATGGCACTCCTACACCCAAAGGGGACGAACAACGAGGAGCACGTTCTCCACCTCGACGATAAACAAGGTGTCTGTCATTAGAAGGGAACATGCAGAACGTGCTCTCCTCGGTGAAGAGGACGCGCTGTCCAATATGACGTCGCCAACGCTTCGCTGTTCTTGCCCGTCACAGTCGTTTATATATTCAAAATTGATGACCCCCTACCTCCCCAGAACAAAATGAGTGACCACCCCACTCCCTCAGGGTATAAACGGTCCCTAACAGTTGCGGAAAGTCTGCAAACTAAAGGCCAAACACAACTATTAAATCTGAATCAAAAACATTATTATTATATACAATCTTTTGTTTAAGATATCGTCACCATCACTTACATTTTCTTTTTTTTTTGGTTGTCTTTGGCTGTTTACTTTTTTAGTTGCATGGATCGTTTCTACCTTTGCAGTACTTCATTCTGCACTATCCACTGCTGTTGAAATAGTCTGTCGCAACTAATTCTTGTGTCAATTAGCGTCAAGTCCCATCAAATTATTAAAGTTTTAAACAATAAAATAAAAACTTCATGACAAACAATAATCTTACAATTATAGTATTTACATGAGGGAAATAATATGTTTTGTATTTCTTTCAGCAATATATGTCCCTACACGAAGGTCATCTACAAATCAAGCTATATCTGCATTTCTTCTTGTTGGTGGACGTAAGTCTTTGCTTCGAAATTTAACTATTACATACAATCAAACACCGTTGTGTCGAACATAAGTGTATGGAACTTCCGGTTGTCTCGAAGTATAAAATACACGACCCCTGCGTATCCCTTCTATAGCCATCATTAACTCGAAGTATTTACGTAGATCCCTTCAATTTCAACAATGTTTGACTAAAGTGCGGACGGTGACACTCATAGTTTCCAAAGGAGACAGTTCATCCTTTGACATTTTGTATCAGTTGTGCAGAACACACTCACCGTTAAGCAAACAACACTATGCAATATTGAACACAATAAACATAACATTGTTTTAGCCTGTGTCTATAATATAGTAGGAATTGTAAACATGAGTATGCTTTCAGCAGAAACTATTCCGTTTTCTTTATGGTTTTAACGCTTGTTTATTAGCTTGCAATAATGAGAATCCCTCGACTTTATGCATACCTTGATGTTTATGTGAGGTAGTGTTTATAATATAGTCGGAACCTAAAGCGGAGTATGCGTTCAGCAGAAACCATCCCTTTTTCATTATGGAACTATGTTTTGACGTATTCTTTGATATATTGCAGTAAGGGGCCGTTCATAATTTATCGCTGGGGGATGATGATGATTCTAAGAGGGGTCACCAACTTTGTTCTAGGGAGGCGTGGGGGGGGGATCAATTCTGTATGCATGTATAAGGGGGGAGCAGCAATTTTGTACATAGAGATATTAAAAAATTAGCCTTAAGAATTATGGGAATGGAGGGGTGTCATTGATTGTGTACATGATACGCAAGGCTGGGTCACTTACTTTGTACATAAATTTTAGGGGATTCAAATTGTACATGCTGCTTCATGAAACTCATCATCAACCCCCCACCCCTAGCTATAAATTCTGAAAGGTCCCTAATGAGAATCCCTCGACTTGTGCATATAATTCATACTTTGAAGTTTGTGAAATCAATATTTCATGTTTCAGTTGCTGTGCTCACGCACTTATACACGTGCCCCTTTATACTACAGCTTACAAGTGTTGTCCCGGGTGGGCTGAAAATGGAGATGGAAATTGCAATATCGGTGAGTATTGTTCTATAGAAAATATGAATGAGTCAGATATATGCATATTTGCAGTGAATATGGGCTTGACTTCATGACGATTATGTGGAATCTGTACTCCTAAAATATTTTAAGATGACTAGTTACTCTTATCTTGCTTTTCTTTCCGATTTTTTGTTATATACTCAATACAGATAGGCATACTGTCTTGAAAATGTGAGCTTGTTCAAAGACTGGAAAAGAGCAAGAGGGAAGAAAACTATTTTTTTATTGATTTTTAAAAAACTGTTGGAAAATACATTATCATTTTCGTCATGAATTGTATTGTGGTTTTCCACTGGTAATTCCACAATAGACTCTCTTCTGAACTACTTTCAGCACTGTGTTACCCCCCGTGTGCTAATGGTGGAACATGCTCGTCCCCAGGAAGATGTAGTTGCTTGGATGGATATACTGGAGCGACATGCACTGGATGTAAGCTGCTTCGTGGTTCGTTTAAAATAGGTCTTCAGCAACCATGCTTGTCGTAAGAGGTTTCTGGTGGTAAGGCATGTCATCGCATGTTACAAGTTTAGACGTTGATCACTGGATTGTCTGGTCCTGACTCGATCATTTGCAGACCACTGACATATATCTTGAATACTGCTGAGTGGGGCGTTAAAGAACTTAAACAAACGTTTAGAGCAAGTCAACATCTTATTGTGTAAGAATGCATTGATTACTCAAAACGTTTCTTCGTATGATGTAAGATATAAAATATCGTTTAATGTTGTGTTATTGTAAGGGGAAATGTTGATTAACAAAGAGTCACTCGAATGAATTGTCCATGTGTTTGGACACGTACCAATTTCACCATATGAGGCACATCGATTTGTAGGATCTGGTATTTGATCCACAGCATTATGTTCCCTCAAGGAAACATTATACACACTGACCTGAAAGTAACTGTTTCTAGATGACTGTAATACGGAGCGACCATGCTACCCAGGGGACTGTCAAGAGAATGGTGCCAGCGTTGTTTGCAACTGTATGGATGACTTCGATGGGGAGTTTTGCATACATCGTAAGTCAAGTAAACGTTTTCCAACATTTGAGCTCCTCTATATTATTGATAAATGTTCATTATTGTGAGTGTTTTAATCTAAACAGTCTCAGTTTCAATTAAATTAATTTCAAAATGTAGTTATACATGTATATACACAGGAGTAAGATATTCTGTTGAACCATGGACTTGAATGGCGTTTCATCAAACATATGATGGAAGTTTGATACGTGAATACATGTACATCCATTTTTGTTTTGTTCACTTAAGTATTTACAAGGACCATTGTTGAAGGTGTGAATTGACACATAACAGAGGTTGTGATCATCTATTTGGAGTAAGTGAGTTAAGATTTTAAGTCACATCGGCAGTATTTCAGCAATATCGTGACTATAATAGTGAGTGAGTGAGTTAAGATTTAAAGTCACATGGGCAATATTCAGCCATATCGTGACTAAAACTAGTTCTAAATGCATAATACATACATATAATATATAAAACCCCGTCAACGAAGGACAGTAAAACCACTAGATTATCACAGATTGACTTAAAACTAGCTAGCAGATATCATTAAAAGTAGAAAATTATTTCTGGACAATATAATGTAAAAATGGGCTAAAGATCCCCAACAACTGAAGGTAGATCACCATGCTAAGGACCATGGGGACTTACAGTGCCTTTGCTACCCGTGACTATAATTAGTAGTAGGTTCTCATAATTAAAACCAAGTTATAAAACCCTGCCAACGAAGGACAGTAAAACAACTAGATGATCACAGATAAAGATATAAAACTAGTATACAAATCTAAAACCGTTGAAATATAGAAGACAATACAATATATAACCGGCTGTAGATCACTAACAACTGAAGGTAGATCACCATACTAGACCTCTTTGGGACTTAGATTTGCTTTCTGCGTGGACCCTAGCTGGATTTACCCCACCCCTTCAGCTGTTAGCAATTTAGAGAAATCTAGCCATACATTAAAAGCACACATATTCTACGACTAAAACATTGGTTACATTAAATGTACTTGAATATTTTGGGTGAGTGAGTTTATATTTAACGTCACATCGGCAATTTTGCAGCCATATTGTGACGAGAACAAATTGGACGTTTATAAGCAATATGTATATATTATAACACCTGTCGGCAAAGGACAGTAAAACAACTAGATTATCACAGTCAGAATTGAAACTAGCATGTGAAGTTAAAGTTAATAGCGCTATTTGGACAATACATAATATAAAAACAGACAAGAGATCGCCAAGATAAGCTGAAAATAGATCACCATACTAGGGCCCATGGGGACTTACAGTACTTTTGCTACCTGCATGGACCCTAGCCGGATTTACACCACCCCCTCAGCCGCTGGCGCATGTACTGGGTTTTAGCCATTATTAAAAATAACAAATATACTCAGATTATAATTCTGGTAAATTGGAATGGACTTTGAAGCTTTGGGACTTACGTATCCTCTTGGGCGATATATTTGGATTCATTTGAACATTCCACCAAACAGTCAAGAAGACACAAGTGCCAGAGGTGACGCAGATACAGGCACAGTTTTCATACATTGAGGATGGCAAGCACATCTATAGTCTCATAGCAGACGGTACACAGCAAGCTGAACAAGTCATTGTATGGACAAATCAAGAGCGACTCAACAACATCAACGTAACGGCCAGTGCTATATTTAAAGGCAGAGCTCTGCCACATCCCCCAGCTTATATCATCGAAGCCAAGACTGGAATTGCCAGAGCATTTGTCAAGATGAGTAAGTAATTGGTAGTGATCGTATTCCTTTTCAGTGATACATTCGGATAAATCCCATCGCTGTTTTGCCATTTACTCTCAGTGGAATCTGTTTCCTTGGATTACCATGTTATTGTCGGACACAAATCGTTCGTCAAAAATGTAAGGATGGAAACTAAGTGAAACTACCCATTGAGTCGGGGGGCTGTGGGGAAGCTTAGTGGCTAAAGTGTTCGCTCGTCCAGCCGAAGACCCGAGTTCAATTCCCCACATGGGTAAATTGTATGAAGTCCATTTCTGGTGCCCCCCACCGTGATACTGCTGGAATAATGCTAAAAGCGGCGTAAAACTAAACTCAATTAGTAATTTTCAGACCTTGTAAATGTAAGTGGTGTGTTTACATGTGTGTCATTCTTCGTTGTGTTGTTCTGTAGTGGAAGTGTGCAGTTTTGGTGTTTATCAATCTCCAGTGTCTTCAAGCATTTTGGGGGTTCTGTGGAAGTGTGCAGTTTTGGTGTTTGTCAATCTCCAATGTCCTCAAGCACTTCATTTCTGTTCTGTATTGGACGTGTGCAGTTTGGGGGTTGTCATTCTTCAATGTCTCCAAGCATTAAATTTTCTCTTTTGTTCAGTATTGGACGTGTGCAGTTTTGGTGTTCAGAGATGTGTTTTGTTGTTTAATGTCGCACTCCAGCTGTAAGGCCGCGGTCTGTATTACAATATATATATAATTATGTTAATAGTATAATTAGGATATTGTTTGTCATGGAGTTGTTATATTATTCTTCAAAGTTTCATTCATTTTACGGTATTATGACTCTAATTCACATAAGAAGTAGTTTTTACAATTGGTTAGTAGGTTGGTTAGTTAACTTAACGCCGCACGCACGTGAATATTCCACTTATATGGCAGCGGTCTGTAAATAATCGAGCCTGGAACAAACAATCCAGTGATCAACAGCATGAGCTTCGGTCTACATAACTGGGATACGATGACATGTGTCAACCAAGTGAGCGGACCTAGCCACACGATGCCGTTAGTCGCTCGTAAAAAGAGTACAAATGTATGGGATGCTGAAGACCAATTCTAACACGGATATCTCACGGTTCTCAAATATATAGCCAAGGAACAAAGTTCTTATATACTAGATAGGATGGGCCTTCAAGAAACGATTCAGTTGGAAACCTCACTAACGATAAGACATGTTACATGTGTAAACATTAGAGGCAGTAACTCTAAATTTCATTCGCTGCTGCCAAAGGTAACATATATTTTACTAGCCCTTCAACCATTCGCTGCCAATTCTTTAATATTAAATGTAACGTACTGCTCATGAGCGATTGAGTGAGTTATGTTTTACGCGGTGGTCTGTAAATAATCGAGTCTCAGCCAGACAATCCAGTGATCAACAGCATGAACAATAATCTACCCAACTGGGATATTGTGACATGTGTCAACCAAGGTCAACCTGACCACCCAATCCCGTTAGTCGACTCTTACGACAAGCATGGGTTAATGAAGATCAATTCTAACCAGGACCTTCACGGGTCTACTCCCACATGACGATTGTTATCTAGTAAATTATACGTTTTACCAAGGTGGACCTGACATTGCTTCGCCGGACAAGGAATTTGCTTGTGGTGAAACAGTCAGCTCCGAAAACCCAAAGAACACGGTCAGCTGTTCCTTTGGGACAAAGTACAATAACCTTTTGGTTGATGGTGACAAGTAAGTTACATACGTACATTTACTTTTGTCTTGCTATATTCTATATTTTCAGCCAACAAATGAACACTTTTGAATATTGTCACCAAATTTGTGAATACCACCCACAATGGTATAAAATGTTGTTATGCTTAAAAATATTTTTGGTTCCACAAATGTACCAAATTAGTTCCTCATTAGTACCAGGTTACGTCTGTAGCGTAACATATCACGTCCTTCAAGAAACGATTCAACTTGAAAGCCTCTCGAACGATCAAACCTGCTATTTTTGTCAGTCAGGGGCAGCAGTAACTCTATATTTCATTCGCTGCTGCCAAAGGTCACAGATAGTTTACTAGCGCTTCAACCATTCGTCTGTAGCTTAACATATCGCGGTTGTTCCGCACGCATTTCCTGAAGTGTGGTGCAGTAAGGCTAGGAAACAGACTATTGTGAGAAGTGGTGTAGTTCATTGCACTCAGCTTGTAAATCATGCTTGGAAACTGACGATTTGATAAATGTATATGGATATGTAAATATGATCATGGATAAAATAGGGTCCAAATCGAGGATTCTAACCCATTATCAAAGTGTCCCGGTATGCTTAAGGGTTGCCACTACGTAGTAGGTGAGTTAGTGAGTGAGTTTAATCTTAGGCACGTCAGCAGTATTTCAGCCACATTGGGACTTGGTCAAGTTAGTTATACAGTTATACGATAATATACATACTGCCATCGATAGACAGAAAAATAGTACCAACTAGCAATATATCACTAGCAGTCGAATTACATTTGTCATTAGTTACTGGCGATTGTCACAGCTTTAGTCGGATGATAAAAATAAGCAATTATTATTAAAATACAATTTTGTCTTATATACTGCAACTAACAAGAATGGATTGTGGTGAAGACGACATTTTCTCTGATTATAAAAGTCCTTCATAAACGGACTTTACGTTAATCTAGGTTGACCTTGACATTCCGAGTTTCAAGTGGTGGCTACCGGAGTCTGAGCGGAGGAGCCACACAACACTATACCGGGGAGGACGCTGTCAGCATTTTAGCATTCCACGTTGACACGGTTCAAACCCGTGTACAACAACCCCAATGACGGTTTTCAGATTCACCCAGAATTCACAAAGGTAACCCCGTTTACCATACTCTTAGCTTCATAGTTTGTATGAGGAGACATCTCAGGTATATTTCCAACAAAAACATATTGGTATGGGTATAGTATGACGATTACAGAGTCAAATATACACTGAAACGATAAAACTGTTGGCATTGAAATGTATTTTAAAATGTTGGATCTAAATTGGGGAGATTGTATGACACTGAAGAGATTGTAATGTACTACTGATGTTTCGAAACTACTCATGATCACAAACAGACGCATAGTGAGTGTGTTCAGTTTTACCCCGCTCTCAGCAATATTCTAGCTATATGCCGGTGGTCTTTAAATAAATCCAGGCTGCACCAGACAATCTAGTGATCAGCAACATGAGAATCGATCTTAGCTATTGGGATACGATGGCATGTGCCAGCCAAGTGAGCGAGCCTGACCACCCGATCCCGTTAGTCCCCTCTTACGACAAGCCTGGGTTACTTGAAGATCAATTCAAACTCTTATCTTCACTGCTTCACGATGTCATCATTTCGATGGTGGCCGTCTCACTCGACATTGTGGCATTTGCAAAAGTTATAATTGCAACAGAATTGTCAAACGCTGACCAAAACAATCAACTGTATTTACCTTTGTTGAAGAGAACATAGTATTAAGTAGATAGAAATGACTGTCACACAAAGTGCAATTTCATTCAGATTCCAATTACTTGACTTGACAACAGAAAATTTCCATTATCATTTACTCTGATAATTGTAAATTGTGAAATTACGAGAGTGGCGAGCATTATTTCCCATTATCCAGTTTCGGAGGAGAAGTTTGATGACAATTTTCTCAATCTCCTCGGATAAAGAAAAAATAATCAGTCTTTACATTACATAGCAACCAATCGACGTGAAGTGGGAGGGTTGGACCGACACTAAATCTGGAACGGACAAGTACACATGGGAAGCATTCAAACTTTCAAAATTTATAACCCTGTAGTTATGCATGCAATATATAACCCTGTAGTTATGCATGCAATATATAACCCTGTAGTTATGCATGCAATATATAACCCTGTAGTTATGCATGCAATATATAACCCTGTAGTTATGCATGCAATGATTAGCTTCATGTTAGTCTTTTAGATGATGAATGACTTGCAGTCGGTTTTCCTTAAATAGGAGCCAATAAACATACACTGGGATGCATGGAGGGATTCACAATCTGGAATGGACAAGTACACATGGGAAGTCTTCAAACTTGAACCCAGTCAGAACGGAAGCTTGACGGAAGTAGACAAACTGAGACCCGTTGTTCACAGAGAAGTTGACCATACCGATCCAATCTCCTATCCTCATCCCTATGTCCCCGACAGACCAGGGATGTATTCTTTTGTCCTTGAAGCTGCCGACAAGGCCAATAACTCTGTATACCTGAGAAGGTTTGCTCTGTACGACAAGGAGTCGGCAGTGACCACGGATCCAGCCAATGCCCTGTACATATCGTCAGCTGTGCAAGACCATGGCTTCCAGTGGATGACCGATGCCTCCACGCCACTAGTCACCAACTGGCAAGATCATTTTCTGAACTACGTCCATGAAAGTGGTAAATTCCTGAACAGCATCCTCCCCTTCCGTGTGAAGGTTGTAGAAAACCCACCAATCTATAAGGAAGTACCTCATACAAATGATGATCATTATGGAAGAAGAACTACAGCGGCTATCCCCAATGTACGGGGCATTGTGAGATTTGAGTGGACGCATACCGTCAACAAGAGTGGAGGCAGAGCGCACCACACACCAGTAAATTGGAATGATATCTCGGGTCTGAACACAACAAACCAAACAACAGTTGGTTGGTAGTATTTTGTAATGTTATTGTTTGTGAACTTCAAAACAAAATATTTTTGACTTTTGCGTCAAATGTAAATTTTTTGTTTAAGCTAACACTGATAAAATAACTTTGTCTCGGCACGACAGAACATCAACCTGTTTTCTGACGAAAAATGACCCATTTTTTGTTTTGTTTTTAATTGTATGACTGAAAGTAGTTGAGGACATGTAAGGAGGCCATAGGTTGTCCGAGTTAGCAGTGTCCAGTGTATGTGGACACACGGAAGTGAACATAGAATATGGAGATAAATAACACAATTCACTAAACAGAAACACAATGTTCCCTTTCGGATTTCATGACAAAAATACGACAAAAAGTTATGAGCTTCATTTCGTTGATGAAAGAATAAGGTTCAGCAGGAAATTTCTTTACACATTATGCATATTCTCGACACGTTTACGTTATCACTACGTGTTCTCGACCCTTCAGCTGGTGTTACAAGCGGAACCACCGTTACTGTGTGGGTAAGAGCCTGGGACATCCTTGACAACAGGAAAGTGGACTCGACAAGTGTAACCTACGACTTCACCGAACCACAGTTCACTTTGATGACATTCAACAAAAATGAAAAATCCAACATTCCATTCAGTTCCGGGTAAGAAAAAGGAGATTGTAAATTGGCTTGACTGCAGAGTAACCCTATGTTGAGTATTTTTAAATGAAAAATATTGTTCACTTGTTCATTCAAAATGTATTGTTTCCATATTAATTTATTTAATTAATTTAAATCTTCAAATAGTATAAGCTTAATTTCGTCAGATATTATAGGACTTTCTCGTCAAAACTGTAACTATGTTGTTATCACTAATTACTCGTTGTTTTTGTACAACTATTCTGTGTTGATTTCTGTTTATTGGCCCGTGTTTTTCGTCTGAAATCAACTGATGCTTTTATGTTAATTTGTATTCTTACTGCGAAAAACGTCTGTTTCAGACATGCAACGAGCTACTAAATCTAAGGGGAAATGGGCACCAGAGCGTGCATCATGGTCCCTCTTTGTCTGTTTGTTGTTCACAGTTATCTAAATGTACTATAATCGATTCCGTGACTGACAGACCAATGACTGAGAGAAGAAACAATGTGCTTCGTCTTACGATGACACGCGATCACCAAACACGTTAAGACCAACAGTACAATGTTTGGAATGAATTCCAATATGGATTCCCACGAGAACATCCACATTGAAATGATATTGATTCTAGGGGTGTGGCCAATGCTTGTCGTTAGAGGCGACTAAGGCGATCGGGTGGTCAGGCTCGCTGACTTGGTTGACACATGTCATCGTATCCCAATTGCGTAGATATAGGCTCATGATGTTGATCACTGGATTATCTGGTCCAGACTCGATTATTTACAGACTGAAATGATATAGCTGAGTATGGCGTCAAACAACAACCATAGAGTATAACGGTAATGCATATCTTTTTACTTTCCATAACGATATATCTAATTTCTAATGAACTTTTTAATTCTCTGTTCCTGGTCCTAGTTTAACGGTGACCGCACACGATGCAGAGAGTGGACTCGACCATGTTGAGGTCAAGGTCTTCAATACAGAAGATGGCGACCTACTCAGGGCAAACAATGTATCCATTCCATCTATCAACGTGAGTCATACGTTTCTGTGTTATTGTCTAAAGTGCAAAATGGTAATGCAAAGATGATTTTGTTAAAAGTTTCATTAGTATTTCCAAGACGAAAACTTTTGTTTTGTTTTGTTTATTTGTTGTTTAATGCCGCACTCAGCGATAATCCAGGTATATTGCAGCGGTCTTTAAGTCAACATCATGAGCATCGATCTACGCAATTGGGATATGATGACATGTTTCCATGCGAACCGTCGGTCGCCTCTAACGACAGGTCACACCACTGGAATCAATATCATTCCTGCGTGAATGTTCCCATGGGGATGAACACTCCGAGCATGTGTCGAAGACAAGAATGGGTTGCTAAAGGCCAATTAATGGCATACATTAGTCTGATAGGCATGGGGATACATGGGACTGACTACAACATGATGTTATGATTTCAGCCGCTTTACTGTAGAGACAGGGTACACGACTGCTACTGCCCCAACGCCCTGAGCGTGTGTTACAAATGGATCAACAAAGTCTACATCAGCAACTGCTGGCTGATGGTGGCCAAGAACGCCCTAGCGACTGCCCAGGTTCGGCTGCAGGTGCGCGTTGTCAACAGGGCGGGGCTGAAGAGCTCCACATATGAGGAACAAGTGGTGAGTAACTATACGACGTTGCCGGAAATTGGCATTCTTTGAGAGTGAGTTTAGCTTTACGCCGCATTCATCTATATTCCAGCTGTATGGTGGCGGTCTGTAAATAATCGAGTCTGGACCAGACTAGCTAGTGATCAACAGCAGGAGCATCGACCTGCGCAATTGGGAACCGATGACATGTGTCAACCAAGTCAGCGAGCCTGACCACCAGATCACGTTAGTCGCCTCTTAGGACAAGCCTGTTACTGAAGATCAATATGCTAACCCGGACCTTCATGGGTCTCTTCGAGAACTACACGGGTGTTGTTTATACGCCAGTCAGCAATATCTTATTTTTCCATAGTGATCTGTAAATAACCAGCATCTTCGCGAGAGAAGGGACCTAACAGACTATAAAAGTCTCGAGAGAATGGACGTAACTGACTTTAAAAGTCTCGAGAAAGGGAGGTAACTGACTATAAAAGTCTCGAGGGAAGGGAGGTAACTGACTTTAAAAGTCGGGAGGGAAGGGAGGTAACTGACTTTAAATATCTCGCGAGAAGGGACCTAACAGACTTTAAATGTCGCGAGGAAAGGGAGGTAACTGACTTTAAAATGTCGCGGAGGAAAGGAGGTAACTGACTTCAAGAGACTCGAGAGTAGGGACCTAAGTGAGTTTAAATGTTTCGAGAGATGGGAGGTAACTCATTTTAAATGTCTTGAGAGACGGGACGTAAATAACTTTAAATGTCAAGTTCCCATACAAGACGAAGTAGACTGGAATTTCGGAATTTAGCTTTTAACAACCAACATCTCTTAATCTCTAAATGCCTGAAAGCACTCGATTTATTGAAAGTCGTTTCTAATTCAGAGTGGAGAGGGGATCAAGCTACCCTCCTTCACCCATATAGATCACTGGTCCGAACCAAGCTTGATTATGGCTCCAGTGTATATGGTGGAGCCTGTAACAGCAGCCTCAAACTATAAGATGATGTCCACCACCAAGGTCTAAGACTTTGTCTTTGGTCCTTTAGAACCTTTCCTATTGATGGTCTCTATGTCGAAGCTGATCTGCTATCTCTTACACAACGCCGTATAAAACTATCTTTACAATATATTACAAAAATATATTCCAACCGGTCTAACCCTGCATATAATTGTATCTTCAATCCCCTCCATGAGGATTTATACAACAAAAAATCTTCTCTTGTTCCACCTCTTGGGTTAAAAATTAAACCAGTCCTGTCTGCTGCGGGCATTGAGCTGGATATAGCTCCTTACCGTCTTCTTTCTTCTCCTCCTTGACAATTGGTTAGGCCACAAGTTGACCTAACACTGACAACCTTTAAAAAATCTGAAACTAATGAATTACAATATAAACAAGAATTTAATCAATTAAAAACTAAATATAATACATATTATAGTATTATAGATATACATAGTCCTTATTTACAGATGGGTCCAAGTATGGTGGCGCAGTCGCTTGTGCCACTGTCATTGGATCCAGAACAATATCTTCGAGATTACCGGGCGATAGTCCTTTATTTTCACAGCTGAAGCACATGCCATATTAACGGCGCTTAAATATATTCAAAAACATCCTAAGTATTAACAATGTATAATCCTTTCTGACTCTCTTTCTTGCCTTCAGGCCATTAAAAATGTATCTTGTAAACATCCACGTTTAATAGAAATTATTGAATAATATAATGATCTTGCTATTGGCCAATACGACATCGTCCTCTGTTGGTTACCCAGACACGTTGGCATTTCTGGGAATACAATGGCCGATCTTGCTGCCAAGGCAGCACTCAACAAATCTGTGACACCCCTTCGTATTCCATACTTTGATTATAAAGCTGTCATCAGATCTTATATTCGTGATCTAATGCAGAAGATGTGGGACACCCTAGTAGGAATCAATAAATTACATGACATAAAACCCTATATCAGTTGCACCTACTTGGGTTGTCAGTCCAGATTTGAAGAGGTCACCATACAACGATGTCGTATTGGCCACACAAGATATACTCATGAGTACCTATTGAAAGGTGAGGATGCTCCGTTTTGTATCCCTTGTGATGAAAAATCACGGTCAAGCATGTCCTGCTTGACTGTATTTAATATTCCATCACAAGGGATATCTTTTTCAAATCACGAACTATGAAGGATCGTTTTAATAATATAAGTTATCATTTAATAATTGCATTTTTAAAAGAATAGATCTGTTAGCTGATTTGTAAATAGATAAATATTTTATGAATGGAAGTTTAAATTAATAATTGTTAGTGGCTGTACCCTCAAGGGGGTTTAAAGTATTGTAACATTATTGTCCTCCTGAGAGGGTATGCAAGTCCCAAAATTTTCACAGTCAATTTAAACTTACCAGGATTATTAAACGTAGTATTTCTGTTATTTTAATTTTGGCTAACATTTCTTACACTCGCCAGCAGCTGAAGGGATGGTGTAAATCCAACTAGGGTCCATGCAGGTAGCAAAGGTACTGTAAGTCCCCATGGTCCCAAGTATGGTGATCTACCTTCAGTTGTTAGCGATCTATAGCCTGTTTTCATATTGCATTGTCCAAATAGTGCTAATAGTTTTAACTTTCCACGCTAGTTTTTCTTCTAATTGTGATATTCTTGTTGTTTTACTGTCCTTTGACGACAGGTTTATATTATATACACATGCTCCATTTCAATGTCAAGTATGTTCTCGTCACGGTATGGCTGAAATATTGCCGATGTGACGTTAAATCTTAATCAACAAGCAGGTCTTTTGTTTGAAGCACATGCATGGAGGGAGGGTAAAATTAGTTGGAGAGACATAGAAGGGACATAACTCGTAATAGCTTCTGGTGGCGCCACAATGGAGCAGAGAAATTTCGGTAAACTTGGCAACTGGATTTTTATAATCAGTTATCTCCCTTTACAGCAACAACAAAAATACCGAGATGATATACAATATCCATTGATTTATATACCAACGAAATCACTCGCATTCCAAACAGTTGTTATTATTTTGACAATTTCTGTTCATAGGTGACGAACCTGTTGGAACTAAACGGCACCACGACATGTAAGTAGTGAAAAATGCTAAATTCTACTCCCTAATCCCAATATATATCTTGCTAATAGATTGTAATATATAATAATATTAAATCATTGTATTCTAAATTATTAAATAAAATTCTAAGAATGTTCTGAAGTTACATATGTTACGGTTTACGAATTACTGAGATAAAATGCTCGTGAGTCCTCTTTAAATCAGCAAAATAGAATACAAACAAGTCTACTATGCTCAGTTATATAGAATGTTACAATGAATGACAGTACAGATATATCATACAATACTACTGGATCACAAATCTAAGATATTGGGTCCAGTAAAATACAGATGCAGTGATTGAAGATTGTTGACAGTTGCCAACGTTCAATGTAGTCGAGGCCTCTTGAGTGGGGTCTTGAAATGTTGCTGTTAGCAGACAGATGAGCGTAAATCCAAAGCAGTAGTCCCGTACATCTCAGCAACAATCCCTTATATACCTATTAACAGTTTTGGAGAATTCTAGCAAACACCATGCCATACTATGATCATTTAGAAATTACTGGAATCCCCTCATAGCTTACAGCATCCTACCGAAAACAAAGGGAAACATAGGGAAGGTAACTCTAACTTAAGCATAACAGGTGAAATTACATAGCGTAAGTTTAAGATGCGAGTTCTAATCCACACTCAGCGGTTTATACTTTGAGACTAAAAGTTAATCAATGCGACATAATTAACAAAAACATATCCTCATAACACATAAAAAAGAAAGTTTTGACTCATAAAAGTTCAAACAGTAACTTAGGCGACACTCTGAGAGGGTATATCAACAGTATTTTATGACAATGCCTGTGCTATAACAAACATATTGGAACTCTTTGACTTTCATGCGATATGTCATGTAACACAATGACGATCACATTTCAAAAACTGAGAGTTTAGACAAGAGCATAAATGCAGAAAGACTCGTGATCACTTTAGAGCGAATCAAAAAGTCGATTCCACAATCAAGGAGTTCTTGAGCCCCTAAGCACTTCTTAACTCAAAGTAGTAATCACGTTCATATCTGCTTGACTTCCAGCGGCGGACGACACGACTGCTGAAACTCTAGGCGCGGGGGCTGTAGCTGGAATCATTATAAGTGAGTAGAAAGGAATTTCTCGTTGGTCATATTCACCTGGATGGATTCATGGTCCAACCTTCATACATCCTTGTAGATGGTGATTACATGTAAATTGGGACGGTGGGGTAGCTTAGAGGCTTTAAAGCGTTCGCTCGTCACGAAGACCCGGGTTCGATTCCCTACATGTACATGATGTGTGAAGCCCATTACTTGTGTCTCCCGCCGTGATATTGCTGGAATATTGCTAAAAGAGCCGTAAAACTAAACTCACACGAATACATGTATCAGCCAGTCAGAGCCTGGTGATCTGGTTGATGACGTGACCCCACACCCGATGCTTATAATATCATTCACTGGTTTGTCTCGTCCTGCTTCTTACAGGCCGCTGTTGCATATGTTGAATGGGGTTTTATCAACAATAAAACTGACAACTACTTTCGTCTTATATGCATGTACATACTCATCATAGTCACGATATGGCTGAAATATTGCCGATGTGACTTTAAATCTCAACTCACTCACTCACACACTCATCTGCAAACTGCGTGTTTATATTTTGCATTCTCGGTTTGCCAGATGGCCAAAACTACCATCGTTAAGAATCCAGGTGTATTGGTGTTTACCTGAAAATTACCTTGTGGACACTGATATGAAACTGGATTCAAACATGCCACATAGTTTATAATTCGAATCGTGTTTAATATTGTAACTAGTTCTATACGCACAGGTAAATGTCTTTTACAAACTTTCTATTTCATTGACCCCGATTGGGATCAAACTGTGATTGTTTATCTTGAAAAGTGGTTTAATGTACTTTAAAATCACAATGCTTGAGGTTAGGAACATGATCATTAATTTTCATGTTACAGTAAATTATACAATGATGTATGATTTTTTATGGTGGGTTAGACGCCTGACATAAAGTGATAGCTAAAAATAAAGGAGATCTGTCCATTGGTTCGATTCCCATTTTGGTACTGTGATAAAGTTGATATTTTCACACATGATATCGCCACTCATGCACACATCGATCGATCAAATAAACAATTTGCCAAATATCATCGATGTATTTGAGACCCGTGGAGATCCGGGTTAGAGTTGGTTTTCAGCAAACAATGTAGTAAGAGACGGCTAATTGGATGGGGTGGGGCAGGCTCTCGGACTTGGTGGACACAAGTATCCCAGTTGAGTAGATGGATGCTCATGATATCAATCACTGGATTGTGTAGTCCAGATTACGTTACATGTTAAACATCAAAATAGTTGAGTTCAGTGTTAAACAACAAACATGCTTCGGAATTACAGTAAATGTAGGTGCAAGTTTCATATGCAGGACTAAACGCTGCCATCGATCACGAAGAAGACCTGGGTTTGATTCCCCACATGTGTACAGATATAGAAATCCATTTCTGGTGTCTCCTGGACACTGCCGGAATAAACGGTTCTGAGCAATTCTCACTCACACACTCAATCACTCACTCAATCGATTATGTACAGACCGCAGCCATATATACTACCCATCAAAAGTTTAGACTCACTGAAAGCACTCACTATATGTTATGTATATGTATGTGGTTACATCGAAGATGAATTTCTCCACCAACTTGGGGGAACCAACTGAAAACCTTATGCAGATGAATTGCACAAGGACGATGCTTCAAATTGCGAAAGGCATGAGCAAATGTCGTGCATGTGAACAGATTCGTTTTGGTGTAAAGTTTTGTTAAGAATTCGCCAATTTTCACAGATTTTAATCATTTACTGAACTCATGACAATAATCTTTTTAATGTTACGAATATGTTTTACAATACACCAGTTCATAACTAAACAGTACCTTTAAACAGTATGGAATATTTTGCAAAAAGCTAGTTTAGAACAGTGGACAAGTAAGTGGCTACATTTACACTAGTGAGTCTAAACTTTTGATGGGTAGTATAGTTGCAATATTGCTGAGAACGGAGTGCAACAACAAACAAACAAACAAACAAACTAACAAACGATATATTTGCTAGTCTGATACCCTTATTATGATCAATTCTGGTCTCTTGCTAGTAATCCTGATAGTGCTGGCAGTTGCTGGAGTCGGATTCTTTTTGTGGAGGACTGGAAGAATGCAGAAACTGATCAGAGGACGCCAGAAGAGATATGGTGAACCCGAGGCTCCCGCGACAGGAAGGACGACCAATAACATTCGCCCTCCAAAGAACACAGCGTGTTACGACGTAGGTATCGGTAATCACGCATGCTGTGCAACAGTGTAATAATGTCATAGATGTATATGAGGGGACAAGCTGTAAATATGTTTTTTTGTATTGAGTTAGTGAGTGAGTGAGGCAACTGTATTGGGTATTATGGCGTTGCGTATTACCTGTCCTGGACCCGTGAAGATCCGGGTTAGAATTGATCTTCAGTAGCCCATGCTTGTAGTAAGAGGCGACTCGCTGACTTGTTTGACACATGTCATCATATCCCAGTTGCGTAGATCGATGCTCATGATGTTGATCATGGGATTGTCTGGCCCAGACTCGATTATTTACAGACCGCCGCCTTAGAGCTGGAATAGTGGCGTTAAACAACAAGCAACCAACCAACGTGAGCTGACTATCGACAGACAGCGCCGTTGTATTCCAATCGCTCCCACAGACAGAGAAACCATCAAACTCGTACAACTCATTTTGGTCTTCACAAGGCTCAAACATTCGTGTTTTACTGTGCGATGCAGTGAGACAGCGAAGCGAGGGCGTGGAACTTCCCGGGTGCTCATGCTTTCAGGGGCAGTGGGATAGCCTAGTGGTTAAAGCGTTGGCTCGTCACAACGAAGAGCCGGGTTCGATTCCTACATGGGTACATTGTCTGAAGTCCATTTCTGGTGTCCCCGCCGTGATATTGCTTGAATATTTCTAAAACGGCGTAAAGACTAAACTCAGTCACTCATGCTTTCAGTCACTGTTTATATGGTATCGTAATGCTTTGCTTCGGGATGTAGCTGGAATAGTGCTCACGCCTGCGCAGCATTCCCAGATTATATCATTCTTTCACCCAGTGTGTCCACTGTTTATTCCAGAACATGACGTACACACCTGAAGATGACATCTACGTCTACGGCGGCATGAGCTTCACGGCGAAGCAGCCAGGGTACATGTCGAAAGATCAGCTGTCACTACTGGAGGAGATTCAAACTGGAAGATTTGCACGAATTTTCAAGGCTTCTTACAAGACTGGCAAAAAAGTCACACGAGGCGGCGGCAAAGGTCCTCAAAGGTAACCCTCTGAAAGAAATTGCTCTCTTGATAATATATATACCTAAGTGTAGTTTCGGGTGCAACACGGTACATTTGAGAACTATTATCCTTTACACCATCGTTCTTGAAGCTGGAGGGGCGATGGATTAGTCTAGTGGTTAAAGCGTTCGTTCGTCACGCTGAAGTCCCGGGTTCGATTCCCCACATGTGTACAATGGGTGAAGCCCATTTCTGGTGTCCGTCGCCGTGATGTTTCTGGAATATTGCTACTAATTGGCGACTAACGGGATCGGGTGGTCAGGCTCGCTGATCCTAATTGCGTAAAACGGTGCTCATGATGTTGATCACTGGATCCGACTTATTTACAGACAGCCGCCATATAGTTGGAATATTGCTGAGTGCAGTGTCAAACTAAACTCACCCACTCACTCATCAACCAAACCATCATGTCGCTTAAGATACTGTCTTAATGCCAGTGATGGGTATCCACTGACAAGTTGCTGGTCAGTCTCATTAACTTCATTGCATAATTTACAATCTGATACAAAAAACACACACAGCATCGAGTGGAAAGTACTGGACCTGAGCAGCACAGAGAAAACCTTCTGTTTCACTTTTCAGGCCAAGCGACTTCCTGTTCTTCTCAACGCACTACAACTTCTCAACTTATTCTCAAGTCGATGCAGCCAAGCCATTAAAATCTGAACTTATTGTTGTTGTTATTATTGTTATCATATATTATTTGCAGGCACGCCTGACGAGGATAGTAATTTACTGATGATGGCCAAAATCAACTTCGCTGCAACAAGGGTCGGGGAACATTCCAACGTGCTGAAATTCATCGGCGCAGTCGTTGATAATGATGCGTGTAAGTGATGCCCATTTCTTGCGTTCACCTTCTGATATTGCTGGAATATTGCAAAAAAGCGGCGTAAAACCACACTCATTCACTACTCACGTAGGAAATGCAGGATGTAAGATCCTGAACCTCCTTGCCAATATCATGACTACGGCTACCTCTGGCGTCTTTTTCAGTCATCTTAATATTACCACACTTTAACACTCTGTTTCTGGTCTGAAACCAGGATCTTGGTTGTTTGGAGAGAAAACTATGGAAAGTATGAATTGCCCTCATGGTGTTTGCTCAGAAGATTAGGTTGCTCGATATCATGAAAAGAAATGTGTTAACAAAATATATTTTTCGCTTCCTCCGTTCTAGCGCACACATCCCCTGAATACGTGTGATCTTGTAGAACCTGTCATTGCCATATCTGATATATACCTTCTTCTTCAGTGGGGCCGGTGGTGGTGTTGGAGTACTGTGAAAATGGTCCGCTGGACAAGTGGCTGACCTCTAGACAGGACAAAGTGAATCTTGAAGTTCTGGAGCAGATTCAGACATTTGTCTTAGGCATTGCTCGGGGTATGGAGTATCTCGTTAGTAAAGAGGTATGTATTTACTGGACACTCTCTGTGTTGTGGCAAGTGTAAAGTGCATGTATTGACTTTCAGGAGGTGGAGTTAGGAAAAAGTTGGTTGGTTCCCTTAGGCATTGGTTGGGTGGGCTTTCTTTTTATTGTTTACTCGTTATTTTGGTCCATATATTTTAAAAAATGTGAGACGGTAAACGTTTTTGTTCGTAATCTTATGTTTGAAAAACAAGTATATTCAAGGTATATACATTACGTTACAAAGGTACATTAAGTCTTGACTTGAGTGTTTTTTGTTAGTTTGTTTGTTTGTTTGTTGTTTAACGCCGCATTCAGCAATAATCATCTATAGGCCACCGGTCTCTTAATAATCGAGTCTGGACCATGCAATCCAGTGATCGACATCATGAGCATCAATATTGGGACACGATGACATGTGTCAACCAAATAAGAGACCCTGACCACCCGATCGCGATAGTTACCCATTACGACAATCATGGGTTGATGAGGACCAAGAATGGGACACATGTAGCGGTATGTCCTGTTCTCATGGAAAACAAAGACTGTACCAGTTTAGCTCAATACAATGTCCTTCTCCAGGTTGTCCATCGCAAACTGGCTGCTCGCAACTGCCTCTTGACAAGCACAAATGAAGTGAAGGTCAGTGGATTCGGACCAAGTCGCATGGAAGACGCCAGTGCGGATGATGCCTCCAAAGGGGTAAGAAGGGAAATATGTAACATATATCTTGCGGCCAGCAATCGGGTCTGAACAGGGCCCTCGTTTCATAAACAACAGTAACTCAAAGAAATACGGAAGCTTCATATTTTAACAAAGGCTTACAGCAGACGTTATGCTTGTGGAACATTGCCAAGGCAAATCAGTTGTAGACCAACGGTAAATCGGGCTCATTGACATAAACAGTAAAGGAACATAGATTGCCCATTCGGCCCTTCAAATAAGCCAAATGTCAGTTGTAACCATGATAAGTAGTTTTATCAAAATGGCATAAACCCTGAGTGTTGATATGTTACACATACACACAGGATCGAATCCCTGTGAAGTGGACGGCGCCAGAATGTCTTCAGTCTCTGAAGGGAGCCAATGAGAAGAGTGACGTCTGGTCCTTTGGGGTGACTATGTGGGAAATCCTCAGCATGGGTAGGTGTGACAAATATATTCTTGGAAGTGCATTGAAATGTTTAATGTAATTAGTTAAGTACCTAGGTATACATGTATGTCTGTGAGAACGTGGACGTAGATTGTGATGGATGTGTATGTGAATGTGAACTAAGGCATTTTTGTGTTACGTTGTTGTAACAATTTTTGATTAATATCAATGATATTCTGAATTGGTAAGGTATAGATATTGTTTGGTATAGTTTTCGTCACTAAATAGAAGTATTTGAGAATATGGTTTCTATTATTTTTTGTGTATGTGGGATTTTTTTGTCTGATGTTTAACGCTGCCAATACGCTACCTATGCGAGGCATATAAATAATCGCATCTGAGCCAGACAGTCAGCCAAGCAAGCGAGTTTGATCACTCGCTCCCGTTAGTTGCGTCTTACGACAAACATAAGGTGCTGAAGACCATTTCTAGCCCGGATCTTCACGTATGAGCTCATGGAGGTAGTTTTAGTATACACCCTGTGTTTTATCTCTCAACAGGCCAGATCCCTTACGGTGAAATGAGGAGCCGAGACCTGCCGACCCAGCTTAAGAATGGTTACAGACTCTCGAAGCCGGAATACGCTGAAGACGTGTAAGTGGTTAGATGCATGTATACTAACACCAGTGATGTTTCATACGGTACTTCGTGACCAGGGCGATTAATGACAATTTTAAAAAGTGGCTTAAAGCGTTTAGCGTTAACATGACCATCTGTTATAGTCGGGTCAGGGTCAAATAAGCAGTGGTCGAATGCATGAAGAGCGATTCAGGCCGATAACAGGCGAATCGTATAATCATTAATTGACTTACGAAATCTGAAGTACACTCGTGTGTGTGCGTATGTGCGTGTGTGTGCGCACGTGCGCGTGTGCTACGTAATAGGCGTGAAGCAATGTAATAAATGAATTAAAAAGCGTCAGAATACCCAGAAGATATGGACCCTGCTTCACAAAGCAATCTGAGCGACTATTGTGAATCTCAAAGAAAGTTTTACGAGAGTAGCGCTAAGAATACATTGTGAACGGTGCTCTGTAAATCATGTAAAATAATTAGGTAATTATTGTATAACAAAAGCAAAATGTCTCGTGTTTATTTTATCCAGCCACTACAGTCTGATGCAAAGCTGCTGGAAAGAGAAACCAGAGGCCCGGACTACTTTCGCGGATGCAGTGGGGAAACTGGAGGCCTCATTCGGTCTGAGACCCACTTCCGGAATGATGTATTACTACTCGAAATAGTCGACCTCTTGGGCAGCGTTTTGACTACAGTGTTTCGTTCGCAAACAATGCTTGTATCCATTTGGAGAACAGAATGATCTTTTCTATTTTTCCATTTTCCACAAATGTATTAGTAATTAAAATAGTATTACTTATATTTTATTTACAGTAATTTTACGTCATTTTAGTTTCAGTCTGTTGAATTTCTTTCAGCATTTCCACATATGGAACAGGAACCCAACTGTTTGGCCAAAATGTAAACAACAAGCACGCAAGATTAAACCGTGATACAATAACACTTGTCATCAAAATATTCCAAAATGCTCAATTTCTTTATCAACCATTTTTATACTGATTAGTCCAAATTCCCTTTGATATAACAAATTGCTCAAATATTAACGCCTGTTCCATGTTTTATGTTTTTACGAAATATGTATCACCTATGCACATACACACCATCATTACTAGATAGAAATGTAACTTACCTCCCTTTTCCGTGTCAGGATCTGATCGTGGGTTCGATTCTCCATGACCATTTACTAAGGTCTTCCCTGAAAGCTTAGCTACTGAACTGAAATTCTGTTCAAAGCATCCTAATATAAATCACCTGTTTGGTATCATTAATATCCAGCAACATCATCACACGCATCTGGCTGTAACAGAATCAAGTCATATATATGTTTTATATGTCTTTTGTTTTCACGGAGCGCATAGATCTTCGTTGACACACACATATGAAAATAACAATAGCATGGCAACAACTGTACCTGAATTCTGCGTACTTAATGTTTCGGTATTACTTGTATACTTCATAATTCAACATACATATATAATCTCTGGAACGTTTCAACACTTATTATTTTTAATGTCATATTAAACATGTCCGCCACGTCAGCCATATTGAATAGTCGTTCTGGTAAAATATATTGTCATTTATTTAAAATGTATCAAGTGTACTTCTGCTGTCGATATGTGTAATTTCAATAGTATTTTGCTAATGGCAATTGGGGCGATGGGGTAGCCTTGTGGTTTCACACCGAAGACCCGGGTTCGATTCCCCGCATGGGTACAATGTGTGAAACCCATTTCTGTTGTACCCCGTCGTGGTATTGCTGGAATATTGCTAAAAGAGGCGTAAAACTAAACTCACTCACTCACTCTGATGGCAATTCGGTTTTGGCATCTCCTGAAAGCACGAAAAAATTAGTTTAATCACATTTTCTGACAGAATGCTCCTTTGATATATTTCATAACAATTATTTATATTTCTCGTTTATAGTGATAGACTGATCCAGTTATCTTATGTATGAATAATTACAGCACTTGCAATATATTCATTTGTTATCTCTGGTTTATTGTTTATCTCGACTATATTACCTCGTGTAATGAACGAAGATGCTTAGTAACTAATCATTCAGTGTAGTGCATTTGATTTGTACCTGAATAGAAAGATGGCATAATCGATCTGTCCTTCCGTCCATTTACCTACATACGTCAATGTCTGTCTAGTGGCGGTGGGGTAGCCTTGTAGTTAATGGTTAAACCTTTTGCTCGTCGCGCCGAAGATCCGGGTTCGATTCCCCACAGGGGTACAATGTGTGAAGCCCATTTTTGGTGTCCCCCGCAGTGATAGTGTTGGAATATTGCTAAAAGCGGCGTAAAACTAAACTCACCCCATGTCTATGTCTGTATTCTTTACGAAGTGTGATCTACGAAAATACCCAATAACCTGTCTCTCAGTTACCATTATTTGATTTTGTGTTGTTCCCATCTGAATAAGGGCAACATCGATGGTCAGTCCCTTCCGTCGGTCTGTCTGTCTGTTAGTCACTGTTTATCATTGAATACAAAATGTGTTACAAAAGTGCTCATCTTGTATGAGAGGTGTTTTTTTCAACACTAATGTAAACACATTCAACGCAAAGTATTGTATTTTGTGTCGTACATAGTTGAATAAAGATGTCATCAGATATTATAGTTCTTACTCTTTTAAACTAAGACAAGATCAGGGGCCCGAGTCTGATGAGTTTCATTACTGCAACCCGTCAATATCCCGGTTAGAATTGGTCTTCAGCAGCCCGTTGATGAATGAGGTTTGAGAGTTCACCATCAAAGGGACGAGAATCTGATTGGCTGATAGGAGGGGACGTGAATCTGATTGGTCAATCCTCCCTCTGTCGATGACGTCACGCTAAAAATAGATACCTGTGTATTTCAAACGGTTGTGTAATGACCGAGGAAGCCCCGCGTTCCTCTTATACGTTTTCCTCTTAAGTTCGTTCACAGACAGCAAACTATTAGATCATTTTATTGTACATCAACTCGTCTCGTTTATATTTCAGTCTACCCATAAAGTGAGTGAATTATTATTTATACAACGCAATATGGTAAATACCCATGCTTAAAATAGCTCACTAAACTTGTCGTGACTGGAATGAACCGACTGGACGAATCTACAGCACAGGGGTGTTTACAGAACAATACCGCTGATCTGAAGCCATCCGTACACACGTAACCTGGCCTATCACCCCTTGCTATTGCTTCAATCATGTTTCATTCAAGACGCTGTGCTAAATATATGTAAGTGGGGAAAATGAACTCATCCAGACCCGTTATGTCAAGGCTGTATAAAAAGAGATTTTGAATTAAATCTATCATTTGTATCGTTGTCGTCAGATGAGACAGACGTGCAAGCACGACTGGTTGAACCAATCTTTAAATCGAATTCCAACCGTGTGTGTTGTATGGACGCTACTTGAGCAATAAATCGTCCATTTTGAATTTATAATGAGACACCTGGACACCTGGTGTGTCTGTTTTTAGATGATGCGTCTTTGTCTCAGGTCTATAGTGAGATCTATGGTGTGAACACCTGGTGTGTCTATTTTTAGAATAATAAAAGGTCCCCCTGAACAGCCCTCCATACAGTGTTTCAGTCACTACACCTAGTGATTACACATTGTGGATATACCAGTGTATTTCTTATGGTATTACTAATCAACCTTGGATTATACTATGTGATTCACTGGGTTTATATTTTCAATAGCTCAGCCTCTCAACTACACATCTCTGGAGTAATTAAACATTGTGTATATTTCTCACTGGATTACAAAACATCTTTGGATTATACAATAGAGTCACTACACATTATACTAACAGTGTATTTCTCTTTTATCTCAAAGCGAGCGCCCGTTATCGCAGTATTAATTCCCGTCTGACTAACTATAACTATTAAAAATGTGAAATTCAAATGTATACAACGTCCTACCTTCAGTCCTTACATTGTAACACAGAATACATCGTAACACAGATTAAGATTTACATCATCATCAGATTGAACGAGTGTTGGGGATAAAGACTAGTGTACATGAAGTCAACTCACCTCTGTTCATCATATCCATTGTTGAGGCAAACAGTGGTGGTAAATCTAGATGTTTAGAGGGGTTGGAACAAGTAACCCATTCATGTGAAGAAACAGATTGATTCATACTGTACTCCAACAATGAATGACTCATTTGCCCACCCGTAAGTCCGACCTACAGCAATTCAAAGCTATGTTTACGGGGAAGGGAATCCCCTCTCCCACCCAAGCATGAAGATTAAGAAAACAAGCGTATAAAGGAGTGAAAAATAAATAACTTCAAATACATGTTACCGAGTGTCCATGTTAATACTTTCTTTTTAATTTGCCACAGCCTCCGAGTGAGGTGTGCCATGTTCATTCTGCCATAACATTGCCTCTCCCTACGTTCAATGAACCGAGAAGCATGACGGCCTTCACGCCCATTGAAGAAACCAGGTCATAGACCGCGTCCCCCGCCGCCATTTTGAAACAAATGATAAATATATAGATTTAAACAAATAACAAAGTCCTAGCAATGCCCGTCGATGAAAAAAACTGAGTAAAATGTTGAAACTCATAGCGAAATCACACACAGCATGCTTCTCACCAAAATATCCCATGTAGAACGAGTCACCATGAACTTACCTTTAAAAATCCCACATAATCATATGAATAAATACAGCCCGATACACACACAGAATACAACCTATAGATAGTTGATTACACATGACTCACATATGCCATGAGCCTACTTTAAAACTCACACACAATCACATGAATAAACACAGCCCGAGACACACACACACAGGATACGATCGATAGAAAGTTGACATGACTCCCGTTTACCACGAATCATTAAATCCCAACACAATAAACACAGTCCAATCATAATCAGAACCTTCCCCTACATTCATCGTTTTTTTCTAAACTATAGCTTGCATAAAACCAATTTTAGTGCGTAGATGTACTCGCATTGTTAACATGTGTACTCACGATACTGTCGTCAACAACATTATTCACACAATACGTTCATACGCAAAAATATCTCTTGTTTCTTAATGTATTGTATTCCCTGAAGGTCTGGGTTACCCTTCAGTAACCCATGCTTGTCATAAGAGGTGACTAAGGGGATCGAGTGGTCAGGCTCGCTGGTTGACACATGGCACATGGTGTAGAATGACGCTCATGCTGTTGATCACTGGATTGTCTGGGCAATTATGTACAGACCACCGCCATAGAGCTGATGAGAGTGTACTAAACTCACTGAATGTATTGCTGTAGGATTGACATAAAACAACTGTTGTACAATTCTTGGTTTTTTATAATACCAATTTCAACCCTATTTCACTGAATCCACGAAAATGTTTAACCTCCTAATACTATTATCAGACATACAAGTTTCAGTTTAATCGTCATTCCTGTTGATTGAATACAAGATAACAACTGTTTCAGTTCATGGTATTGAAGATAACAACTGTTACAGTTCATTGTATTGAATACAACAACAATTTTAATGATCTGTAATGAATATATTTATATACATATATATATATATAAACGGTTTATAAATACATAAGCTATTACACTAGTGTTGTAAAGCCATTTTTGGTCTACAAAGCCGTTTTGGACATGTGGCCGGTTTGGACATGTAGCCATATTGAGTCAGAACCGTTTGCGAACCGGTTTGATAGACCCTTTTGCGATCCAGTTTGA